ATATGCAATTTTTTGATGTAATAAGTTTGCCTATCTGCAACCTGCAAAATTGATGTTAACCTATTGTTCCAAATAATGGACTCATACAATTTTGCATATGTATTTTGAAAATTATTTTGATGTATATTTTAAGGACCATTTCCACATCCTTGTTATATACTGTACAGATCTATGGAAAATAAATAAAATGAATGAATGAGTAATAATACCTGGCAACCAAAGTTAGCAAGTGTAGGTCTTACTGTAAGATGGTTCTTTTTGTCAAATTTTAAACAAAAGTTGAACTAGTTTACTTCACAAAATAAAATGTAATTGAAATACATCTAGTAATCATTGAAGTGAAACCTGCAGATAGGCAGGCAGATGGACACACAAATGCAACCTCCCTTTTGTGCACAAGTTGTATAATAACACCTAAGTATTTGCATTGCAGCCATTGTAGCTCAGTAAATACTAAATATTGAAGGCTTAGATGAGCAAGGTTTGATTCCTAGCAAAGGCAGTGATAGAAATTATGTCTCTTTACCATGCCTTCAGGCTAGAGCTGGGTCCTCCCTGTCCTCTAGACCAGGGGTCGGCAAACTACGGCCCACGGGCCAACTCCAGCCCGCCGCCGCTTTTTCTGCGGCCCGCACGCTAAGAACAGATTTTACATTTCCAAACTCTTAAAAATGTCAAAGTGGGATAATATTTCATGAAACAAGATAATTATTATAATATGAGTTTAATATTTCTGTGTCTATGAAGCTTTATTTATGGGAAGAAACCTACGTTTTTTCGAACATATTGTCTATGGATGATTACGCACTCCAACGGCCGACCTTGAGTTGAGGAGTTGCGAGAATTGCCGTGTGTGGCGCTCTTATAGCTTCCCATTCGCACTGTACTGACTTTTAAAGATCCTCGAGTTTGCCTTTTGGCCCTCAGAGTGTAATGTATTTTATATTTGGCCCTTTATGAAAAATCTTTGCCGACCCCTGCTCTAGACAACAACATCTAACTGATTTCCCTGTTGAAGTATGAAGCTAATAGAGCCATCATTCTTTACTTTCACATCCCTGAGTTCTTAGTGGAGTTGTGCTTCGTCATACATGGATAACTGTATCTTTGTCTTCATGTGCTGAAGCCTTTGTTTTCTTATTTTCAGAGCCTGGCTATTATCATGAAGGACATTTTGGTGTTCGACTTGAGAATGTTTTAGAAGTTGTGAAGAAGAAAACTAAGGTAATGCAGTAAAATATTCTGAACTCAAACTTTACTGAATACACAATAAAAAAAACAGATCAGAATGTATTTTTACCATATCCAACGCATATGGTAGCATAGTTTGTTGAGGCACTATGCTACAAGCTGGAAGGTTGCAGGTTTGAATCCCAATGAGGTGGATTTTTTGTTGTTGCAATTTACCTAATCCTTCCATCCACACTATTTCCTGGGGTTGACTCAGCCTCTAACAGAAATGAGTGCCGGGAATCTTCCTTGGGGTAAAGGGTGGCCAGCATGTAAGGCTGACAACCTTACCGCCACCTGTGAGCTGACTTGTCTAGAGAAAATGTGGGAGCCTTAACACCTTACAACCCTATGGGCCTTCATGGCCTCTTACAGGGGTTGCTTTACCTTTTTTACCATGTAACATCATTCTGGGGCCCACCCAGCTGATGGGAACTGGGATCACTTGGATATGAAACATCCAAAGTATGAAGTTGGCCACTGCATTATGCTGCAGTATGGAATTTACCTACAGGTCACCCATATGCCTAGGCAGTGAAAGAACTTTGCTTTCTGCCCTGATATCTGTGAACAGCCTCACACATAGCTTTCATATCAAAATATGTTCTCTGTGAAACACTGGGTATGTCTGTCACACCACCACTCTTCAGAAAGTAAGTGAAATTATGTAAAATAAAAGGAAAAGAAATTAAATTTTAACTCAGCTCCAATTTAATAACTATAGTTTCATAACAGATATAAAATATTGATGGAGAACATATGGTTTGGGTTTGTGCTAAAGGAAGAACTGGTGTGAGAGTGTTGTATGAGTGGCCTCTATGGATTCTCGTGTTCTTCTGTTGTCCTCACTTGGTCATTCCAGTTTTATTTATTCCACTGATTATTTTGACATGAATGTGTTATGTAAATGTTTATTATGAATTTATTTTATCTGTATACTCCAAAGTGTATAACTATCCAAAGTCAGTTGTGTGTATTTGTGAAACACATTTTTTAGAAGTGAGATTTTTCACAGTGGTAATAAAGATTTCAATCTTCTATGCTGTAATAATGTGTAGTTTTATAGTCAGATATTGATGTTTTGAAGGAACTTGATTTTCTTCTGTGCTGTGACAGCATGTGGTGTTGTATGTATATACAGATGTTTCAGTGGACTGTGCTTTTCTTCTGTGTTGTGACAGCATGTGGTGTTGTATGTATATACAGATGTTTGTTTCAGTGGACTGTGCTTTTCTTCTGGACAGCATGTAGTCTTGTAGGTGAATACAGATGTTCTGGAGGAACATGCTTTTCTTCTGTGTTATGACAGCATGTAATCTTATGGTTGGATACAGACATTCTTGGGGAAAATGGTTTTCTTCTGTGTTGTGACAGTGTATAGTCTTATAGGTGGATGCAGACATTCTAGAGGAACATGCTTTCTTTCTGTGTTGTGACATCATGTAGTCTTGCAGGCAGATAGCAGACTATTCAGAGGAACACAGTGGAAAACATATTGGGACACTAATAAGGGCCATTTTCTATCCCACATTGTCACTGGCTCAGGCTGATCTCAGTTTCTGTACCCCTTCCTGTGGTTTAATTGACCACTTTCCTTGCAACCCTTGTAACTTTCCTGTATAGCCGAACCAATTTCTCACTATACATACTTCAACTGTAAGTGGAGGCAGTGTGTTTCTTCAACTCATCACTTTCCGCTTAAAAAAAGTACACAATGTCATGACCCACAACACCTCAGTCTAACCCATTTTTTGTTTAATTCAGTCATGCATGTGTTTTCTTTCTTTGCATTTATAAATTCTTAAGATGGTTGAAAAGAGAGGGACATGTAACATGTATGGGCAAGCTGACCTTCCAGATTGTAGCATAGTCCCTCAATCAACTGTGCTATTCTACAAGCCGGAAGGTTGCGGATTCAATTCCCAGTGAGGTAATTGAATTTTTCAGTTGATGTAATCCTTCCAGCTGCACTATGTTCCCTGGGGTACTTACTATGTAACCTCCATACAGACAACATAGAAAACACCACTTCCAACAGCTGCTCTGGTGTTGCATGTTTATTCTTTGGCATGGACATGTGTTTACCTCACTGCTGTGTCGCGATATCTGCCTTTATTTGTTACACAATTCTGGCTTTCAGCCATCATGTCACAGTAGAAATAATGATAAATTCCAGGATCTTTAAAACTGAGAACATGTAAATCTTAAAAAATCACAGATTAGAGCAACTTGAACATTTTCAAAAACTGCAAAATATTTCAAGTTTCAGTGCTTGAATATTTTTTAAGGCATCAAAATCTAGAAAAGTCCAAAAATTTTGAAACTATAGAAATCTTCGAAAATTTAAAAATTTCATGTTATCAAGGGTGGGTGTGCCCCAGAATTGGTGTGAACGCTGTGGAGAAGAGAAAAATCTTGCACTCTCAGGAATCGAACCAAGGTTGTCCAGCCTGTCGCCTGTCACTATACCAACTATACCAATTTGAATACTGTTGTTGCAGTTCTTCTGACAAAAATGTCAGCATAGATATTAAAGACTGCCAACATCTGCATATATGAAAGTATGAAAGTATGATACAGCTGTTATACCACATTTTACATGAAACTTTTTGCCTGAATTTGATATCTCTGCCGTGATTTTGCTGTTGTACATATCAGTTTATCTGTCTCATAGTGGCATTTTTAGTGCAGCTTTGGTGATAAGTGATAAGGTGTGATACAGTGTAATGATGATTGATTTTAGAAAATTCTGACTGATATATAAGTCAACCCATGGTTTTTAAATGCCTTCTTCATTGTCTTCTGGAGATGATTCTGATATATCTGATTTGGACATAAATCAGTATTAGAACTAATGTCATTCATTAGTTCTGCAATTTCCTGTCCTCTTGGTGTTCTTAAAATCTTTTCACTTGCATGGCTGTACTTTGACTCTACTCTGGAGCTGACAATCCAAAGTAGATTCAATACTGTACATCAGAGATCAGCTGTGACCTCATGAACTGCCATAACCCTGATTTGGGTTGCTTCATTATTGCAGCATAGACAAATCAGAAATAGTAGCATAAGTATAAGTGCAGAGAGAACAGGAAAAAGCAGTATACCAGACACAGCGATATGAATTTCTTCTGAAGCACTGTCTGTAGGTGATACAGTGTATCATGGTTTTGTTCATATCACAAAGAGGATGTGCACTAAATTGACTTAAGGTGATCCTAGTAATTTTAAAGCCTCATCATTGTATCAACTTACGTCAGTTTTGACAGTGAAAGTATGAAATTTGTTATAAAACATGTTCTGCTTTGCTGTTGAAATTCATTTGTGATACTTGTGTTTGTTTTCTTTACAGCACAACTTTGATGGCCAATACTTTGGTTTTGTACCTGTAACATATGTTCCATACGAACCAAAACTAATAAATGTGAAGATGTTGAGTCCACAGCATGTGAGTTATGGAGTCAGAATAAAGCATTTTGTATATCATTTCATATATAGTTGCTTTCCAATAATTCTGCAGTATTGTCTATAAATATAAAGTCTTCTAGGGAGTTAAGTGTGTTAAACTGTTTCCATGTTATTTATGAGATATCTTGCTTAGAAATATAGGTCTTTCAGGTGTGAGTTTCACAAAGTTTTGGTATATGAAGTGTGAAGTAAGTGGATTAATATGTAGTGCTTGTAATAGTTACACATTTCTGATCAGTTACTGACTTACTGATTGATTCTTGATTTATTTAATGACACTTTCCCACCTTCATAAGTTATGCAGTACTGAATAGTAAAGTGACATGTGAATGACAATTGAAAAAGATGGGAAAGGGTGTAGGCATGATCTGTTTTAAGGTATTGTCTGACATTTGCTTGGAAAGACCGAGGGAAACTGTGAAAATGTGCAGCTACCCCCCCCCCCCTTCATGTGGTCCTTCTCTTCTTGCTGTCTTTCAATTCATGGCTGAACTGCCTTATTCTTGGTCATTCCTTAGGACTCGTTCCTTTAAATTTAGATTATAGTGTCTTTCTCAGTTTGTTCAGTCCATCTTTTTTACATGGCCAAATCATTATAATCATTTCATTTCTAATTCTGTTCCTTATTGTTTCTCCCCTAATACAGGGTGTCCATTTGAAAGGTATCCATTATTAATAAATTATATCTCAGAAAGCATTCATTTTACACATTGGTGGGTTACACTGTTACAAAGGGAAGCTATCAAAGTTTTTTTCTGAGTATATAACTTTCTCAGTAAATTTCAATGTGGGCTTCCTTGGTGGCATGACAAATATTCAGACAATATTCGACCTCGTTCCATGTTACTTGAAGCATGTTTGGTGTTACAGTAGCCACAGCATCCCTTATGTGAGCTTTCAGGTGTTGAACCTGGTAGAAATTGTTCTTCATATAACCCCACAAGAAAACATCCAGGGGGGTTAAATCGGGCAACCTAGGAGGCCAAACGATTGGTCCACCTCTGCCGATGCATCTCCCAGCCTCCTCTCTGTCCAGGTGATTCGTAACAGGTTGGCAGAAATGCAGTGACGCCCAATTTTGTTGGAGGATAGTTTGAGATGGTAATTTGGGCAGCACATACAGCTCCAGCATGTCCAGTTACGATCATCCGGACACAGTTTTTTCCGAAAAGAAAAACGGTCCAGTCAACTTGTTGCGCATTAAGCGAGCCCACACATTCACTTTGGGGCTGCCATTCTCCAACTCACATGTGATAAGTGGATTTTGACTGCCTCAAATCTTGCAGTTGTATGTGTTTACAACTCCATTAACATGGAACATCGCCTCGTCTGAGAAGCACACTTGGTAGAGGAAATGAGGTGACACATCAGTTCTTTCTAGCATGTCCACAGTGAAATTTTGCACGTGCTTCTTAGTCACTTGGTTTTAGTGCATGAGTCATTTGAATCTTGTACGCCCTTAGGTGGAGCCTTTTGTGTAGCAGATCGTGCAGTGTTGATCATAAAATTTGTATGTCACTGCAAGTTAGCAGCACAAATTGATTTCCACAGACTTCACTGGATTGCCTTTCTAATGCAATTGACATTTTCTTCAGAGGTTTGTGTCTTTCCAGGAGATTTTACATGCAACAGACTACCGCCGGTCCTCAGTTTATCATCCCAGAACCGAATGCTTTTCTATATAGGAGGTTGACATCCATATTGAGTTCTAGAATGACACTGGACAGCCCTGAGATATTGCAGCTCTGCTAACCACAGCATGCATTGAACTTGTTCCTGTTGTGTCAACATCATTACTGAGTTTGTCAGAGGGCACCAGCTAGTGCATATGTGTAAGCCAGCCATGAAAAGAAATTTTCAGAGTTTTCCTTTCTGATGACATAAACCGGATACATGTATGAAAGTTTCCAAGATATAAATTTTTTATTTTGGATACCTTTCATCTGAACACCCCATACTTTTAAATAAATCTGTATTGATTGCTTTGATTTTACTTTTTTTTCCTCTTTCTTAAGGGTCTGTATTTCGGCATGGTATTGGTTTAAAATATCCTTTATATTTTTGCACTCTTTTGGAATATGTTCAGTTATATTCTTCTTATGATGTGATAACATTTAGAATTATTTTATATTCTTCTGTTGACTTCTTTGATGATTTTCTTTTCTGAGTTTACTTCATATCCCAAACAAATAAGTTTGTCCACATTTTTATTAACTGTATTATTAATTTTTATTTTCATGTCAGAATGCTTTGAAAACAATGGAAAGCCTTGGAAAGAAGACAGAATAAGGTTATTAAATTACGATGTGTTCTTTCTAATAGCGTAAATGGCTGAATGACTACAATACAAAAATACGGACGTTGGTAGGAGCGGAGCTCAAGCGGCAGCATCGTTTGAAAGGTTTCTATTGGATGATGGACAAGACAGGCTACATTCCAGAACATGATTCCAGCAGTTCCAGTGGAAGTATCAGTGTGACTGCCCTGCTACTGACAGCAATGCAGTTTGTAGCATTTTCCAGAAGAGGTCTTTAGTTTCCATGGTTTAATGTCTCTATATTTGTTGTCTTATTGATTTAAATTCCAGAATTACTCAGTGTATACAGTGTTAGAATGTCTTTTCTGGCATCAGATTAAGATATTATTTCTGCAAAGTTGATCTTACTTCTGTGAACCACAACTGGTAGGGGAATGGAAAGAGAAAAGCGTAGGATTTGAAGTTCTTATAGTGGTGGCTATGAAGAATTCTGTGTTCTGTGGTACAACAGTGTGTAGTCTGTTGAAAGTCTACTGACGTTTCAGAGGAACATGTTGCCCCCATCTTCAGGATCTCTGCAAGCTCTGTTTGCTGCATTCTTCATGCTGGTTTCTTGCTTAGCTTATTCTTTGATCCTCAAGATGGAGGTGACATGCTCCTCCAAAATGTCAGTTGACATTCTACGGACTGCATGGCATTATAGCCCGGAAGGTAGAACTCTTCAGATAGAAAAGTATTTGAGAATTTTTAAATCTTACCAGAAATGTATTTGGAGTAAATTACAATCAATGTTAAATGTCAACCTTATCTATATATTTAGCAGTTATATCCTCATTTTGATTGTATTGTTCTCTGTGTATAATATTTTTGTGGAAAATTATCTATTTTATATTTATGTTTTAGGGAATATATTGATAGATACAAGTTTCCATGATCAATAATGGTTATGAATTGTACACACGTTATTGCCAAATAAGTTTGATGACCTGTGATATCAAGAAAATTCACAGTAGTGCGCAACATTTTCAGGCCTAGCTAAAATGAAATGTAAGTAATAGCCACAAATAATTATCTGTTACAGTTCATACGATGCTAATCAAAAGTAAATATCTTGTTAGATAAAATGATGACTTCATATGCTACTGAAACTCTATTAGTCTCATCACCATTTTGAGCTTAGGTGCATCAGTTAAAATGTACACATCTTAAATCACCAAACTCATGCCTAGCCTTGTAGCAGCATAATGTGACCAGAAACGTCTTAAGAGCATTGTTTCCTTTTTTATGAAAGGCCCCATTGTTCTAACAAATTAGAAATAGTACATTCAGAAATCTATTTTAGAGTTCCAAAAGAAAAAAATTCCATCTTTGGAACTTATTAGTGAATGATGAGTGTCTTATCAGTCTCTAATTCAACTATGAATATCAGTATTAGAGATACTAGTCAGTATAGTTGCATGAAACTCGGTATGAACATCTTAACGTGAGCTAACTTTGCAGCTTCATATGCAGTCCTTCAACTTCCTATCTTCAATAGATTTGTGAGATGGGAGCAACACTAGTATCATTCAGTGCATAACACCACCAGCAACCAGCGAAGGGTCAGAAATTTAGTGTTCAGCTTTTATTAGGATAATTCGTTTTCAGAAATGTGGGAAATGACAACTGGACAGTTATGTAAATACCATGTAAGATTTGAGGTTTACCCGGTGGTGACTAATTCGCTTAGTGGGGGTGGAGTTCGACTGGGTCTGCTTGGCACGGCGGCCACTGATTGGCCTATTGTAGCCTGCCCTGGGTGATTATGATAATGGAGAATTTGGTGGAATGAAAATTGGTAGGAGAAACTTAAGTACTTGGAGAAAACCCACCCCAGTGCCACTTTGTCCACCACAAGTCCCACTTGACCAGACCCAGGATTGAACCTGGGCCGCTGTGGTTGGAAGCCAGCGACTAACTGCTTGAGCTATGGCATGACCATTTATGGTGGTGCCTATGAAGAATGCCATTTTCTGGGGTGTGGCGATTTGTAGATCTTGTGTAAACCGATGTTTCAGAGGAACGTATCTCCTCTATCTTCAGGGTAGAAAAATTTGTGAGAGGAACCAGAGTGAACAGGTGGCAGCCCATTACAGTAATTAAAATAGAAACCTCTTCACCATTAACAAAAGTGGAAGAAAACGGCTGACAAATAGAGAAATAAAATTGTATGGAATTGGTTTATGGAAATGGTTATATGATGTGGGAACTGCCCACATCAAGCAAACGTTACAGTGACAACACAAACATCATTGCTTGAATGTGGGCAGTTTACAGCTGTTTACTCGCCGTTGCTAAGCAGTGTCACATTTGCTTGAATATGGGCAGTTCCCACAAAGTATTATGTGTTTATGCATTCAGATCTGATGAAAATTTATCATGGAGATCAGAATTGAATGTTACAGGAAAATTGGAAATAAGAAAGTAAGCAGCAGCTGAAACTCTAAATTCTGTTTCTATCATGTCTTCTCCATTGATCTCATCAAAGCAAATGGTTAAAAATTCAGACTTAAATGAGAAATGTACAAGATTCATGATACCATAACTTCCGTATATGGGTGTTTTATATATTGTATGTGTATCTGTTTAAAATGTGTCTGAATGTTGTTGCTATACATAATAGTAAAGATTCATTGGTTATGAGTTTATTAATTTAAATTATTGTACTTGTACATGTCATAACAATTAAGTGTTATAAAAATGAAATGGTAATACTAGTACATAGAGTGAGATTAGTAGAGAGTATTGAGACAAATGCATTTTGAAACTGCACTGACTTATGAAATGTATCAGTCAACTGTTTAGCTAAGAAACTGGTTGATAAATGTGTAGACAGGTACAAGCTATATGTCTGCATGCATAAATAAAGGTATAATGGCTGCATAATAGCTCTGACCAGGCAAAACAATACTATAGTAAGATGTCACAAACTGAATTACTTCATAAATTACATATGGTTAAAAACTGGATAATTGGCTTTGGAACATTAATTGTTACAATTAACACCATGTTTGTTAAATGTACAGGGAACTTAACTAAAGAATGACGCACTTGAAATCACATTCTTTGTTCTACTAACTTACCAGTCTCGTTACTGTTATTCATGCCCGTGTTCAAGTAGTCACAACATTTTTTAGACTTGAGGTCCTTGCAGGGGTCAGCATAGAGATTATAGTTTTCTGAGATGTGATGCTGTGTAGTTTGATTGAGTGATATTATTTCTATAATCTTTTCAGTTTCATATTTTATTTTATTCACCTCCTTTCTATGAGTAGGGTCAAACTTACACAAATGTTGTTAATTAATAAAAATAAGATTTTACCTTAGTCAGAACCATTGTCCATATTAATACTAATATTCAGTTCTTTATTTATGTATTTATTTATATTCTTACTCAGCAGCCCACTGGCCAATTATAAAGTAAGCATGAGCAAGAGGGAAACAAACCAAACATATGCACATAAAGACAAAAATAAGGCAACTTGTATCATGTAGACCATGGGTCTCCAAACTTTTCAAAACGCAGGCCACATTAGGTAATTCAGCACTTTCAATGGGCCGGATATAATGAGAAATTAATAACTCTGAGTATATGAGTTTTATTGAAAGCACAGAATTTCATAAACTAAATACAAAGTATGTGAGAATAAATTATCGTATATTAATGATAACAGACAGTGGCAGCGAATGCTCATATTTTCATCCAAATTATAATAAAACAATTAATGTGAATGATGGAACTCTTTTTGCATATTTGAAATCTGATTAAATTGAGGTTCAAATTTTGAAACACTAATCACAAGTAGCGACTGTAAGTGTTCATCGGATAAATTTGCCCTGTATTTCGACTTGATGTACTTCATCTGGGAAAAAGTTTGTTCACACAGATATGTTGTCCCAAAAATGGAGATAAATTTACAAGCCGGCCGTCGTGGAATGGACTCGCTACCAATTCTCAGAACAGTTAGAGCGAAACTGGGCATAAGTTGTCTTTAATACAAAAATGGTAATAAGTACGACACTGGGGGTGATGATGATCTGTTACAATTACACTGCACCACTGCAAGAAGTCTTGTGCACAAGATGGCTAGTAACGAACTGCTCACGCTACCTACATTGCCACGAAGTGACACTGCCGATTGAGGCCGAACAAGTACGAAGAAATACTGCGCAGTATACGGTCCAGAATTAGTAAAATTGTGAATAATATTAACATAATATGGAATATCAATATATTTTAAACACAGTCTTAATTAATGAATTTGAAATCTATGAACAAGTATTTTTTTACCAGTACTCATTGGAAAATTAGTTCAATTGGCGCATTTCTGCACAATTCTTTCATAGGCCGGATGCGGCCCTCGGGCCGTAGTTTGGAGACCCTTGATGTAGACAATAATAATTCAGTTAGTGCATTCACATCAATCATTAAGCAGTGAGGGAGGATGCACACATTAATCTTGAATGTCATTAATATTTTAATAATTAAGAGAGCACCATAATGAAATGATTAAGACAACCAGTTTTCAGAAGTACTGTGTTTTTTTTTTTCTTCTTTTTTGCTGTGTCCTCCGGTATTCTAAAAACCAGAGAACATAGTGTTTCAGAAACTGGATCTGTTTCTGTCCTCAGGTGAGGGAGGAGACATCTACTCTATTGGGTCCCTTAGAAAGAACTAACCTAAATCACAAAAGCTCTTCTTTAACACTTTAAATATTTAAATCACCCTGGGGACCGGCATTTTTAAACATACTACCCTAACTTGTGCACTGTTCACTTTAAAAATTAATATAAAATCTCCTAATTAATTTTTTGAACTAAAATTTTTGGAGAACACTTACCAATGCTCCTAGAAGTGCTTAAGGGTGTGATATTTCTGGAAACATTCCCCTTTGTGAAGTGGCATTACACAGAACTTGCAAATGTAGACATACTCCTTTTTTGTGAACTGTGCAAACACGGCATTGCCTAGAAGGATTCTTCCCCTTGGAATGTTCACTCTTCACAATTTTCACGAGGGTATTTTTCCACATGTCACTCGAGAGTCGCCCTGGGGGGCCCACATGAGGCCTTCGTGGGGTGGGAGTTGATGGGCCCGGTCATACTAAGTCTTTATATGACCCTGGTTCTGCCACCACCATCTGGACTATAGCCCAGGCCTTTGCCACATTCATCAGAAATGCATTGTATTTCAATTTTGAATCAGGGTTTAGATTTTTTAGATTTTTTGCTGTCCTGCAATGTTACTACCCGCATTATCGTCGGAGCTACTGTCACTTTTACTGTCTGTGGCCACAATTCCTTGTTGTCCCCTGTCACTGTCGCTGTACGAATGTCAATTAATCCATTACTACACATCTCACAAGGCAGGTCAGCTAGGTCATCGGAAGAGAATTTGTCCTTGATCCATTCTCCCCACTAGCTACTGGCTGATACACACAGCTTGAAGAAGGCAAAGCATTTTCCTTTATAGTCAGTTAAGTAAACAGCGAGGTCAAGTTACTGACTGCTAACTAAACATTTCAGAGTCTTATCACGCATCTGCAGGCGTTGCATGCAATGTAGGTGGCGCCAGAGCCATGTATAGTGTGTTGCAACTTATCGTGTTCTAAAAACATATTAATACGTGCGCGGCCTGCAAAGTGTTAAGTGACCCATCAGAGTAGGTGTCTCCCACCCTCACCTGAGGAAGGAAACAGAGGCAGTTTCTGAAACACTGTGTTCTTTAGCTTTCAGAATATTGGATGATGGACAAAGTAAAAAAAAAACAGTAATTCTGAGTGTTATACACTGCTGCCAGAAGCAGTTTTGATTCCAAATAATGATAGTTATGTTCTGTTCTCTAGTTGTTTAGTTATTTATGTACTAAATAATGATTACAACAATAATAATAATTTATACATAGAAAATAACCACTTCCAAAACTCAGAATTCTAAAAGTGTTAAAAAAAAGACAGCCAGTGCCTCCCTAAATTTGCCCCCACTGGATAGTGGTCAGTATCACAGTCTGCTCATCTGAACGATCAGACATCAAGTACATTTGAATGCCATCTCCTGTCTGTCAAAATATGGCCAATTTGGTGTGTGTCTTTCCATCAGGAGAGGTCGAAGTAAATTTATGAATGGTATGATGTGAGAACATTGTACTTTTGACAATAAGACTTTCTGATGTTGCAAACTTTACTACTCTTAACTCCATTATCATTACTAATTTTGTGCAAACTGTCATTCCCAATTGTTTTGAAAATGTCTTCCCTACCTACTTTGGCCATTGAAATCTCGTAACAGCATTTTCATATTGTATTTAGGGAATTTAGTTAGTTCTTTGTAAAACCTGTCCTTCATATCATCAGTGTTATTTTCTGTTGGGGCATGAACATTCAGAGCGATGATATCACACCAGCGAACTCTTAATATTATGTACAACATCCTATCACTAACAAACTCTACCCTCTTAACTGCTGATATTATTACCTTATCTACAGAAAAAAAAGCTGTACATAATTCATGATTCTCATTCCACTTTCCATAGAAAAATGTATATTCACATGTTGGTTCAGTGCCACCTCTGTTCCATCTGACCTGCATTCCCACATATTTTGATAATTCTTTGAAAACTGTCAAGAGCGAACCTGCCTGATACATACTTCATAAATTCCATGTACCTGATCTCATGTTCATTTTTAATCTTTGGTGGTTTATCCAGAGACTTCATCCAGGTCTGAGGCCGTTTGTGACATTTTCTAACAAGCTTATTTTTTACAGTGAGGAGTTGTTAGCCCCAAGCCCAAGCTGGAGGATCACCCCTTGTCTGCTGTCCGCGACTGCTTAATCAATACATTTGCAGCTACCCTCCATATCTCGAGGCCGTCTTCTTCCGCAATCTGAGGACGCGCCATATTAGTCAACTGCAGTACCTGACAGAAAATGGAAACAGTTGAACAGGCTGTATAAAATCTTGTATAGGTCAATGTTTGTGTAAATTAGTCTTGGACAACCCATAGCTCAAGTGCGCTCTTCCATTTCCTGAGATATACAAAATACAGAATATTCAAGAAAAGCGTTAAAAAGAGAAAAATTCGTTTATGGAAAAGTATTTTACAGAAGTGGCCTCACAGTTCAGTTGCACATGTTACTTGCTTTTGAAACTCCAGCTTATATCATTACAACATGAAATCGGAAAAGGATTGTTAATACGTATTATTCGAATTATTCGTAAGGGTTTAAATTGTTATATTAATTCACTAACGCACAATGTGATTTTGCAACACTACATTCATTTATTATGCAATAAATTCTGGGAAGAGCTATTCGCCTACTTTCCTTTTTCTGCGACACGGATCGCATAGAAATCGACGCCTCCAATAGTTCTTTGTTGCAGCTGGAACGTGTCTACCGAACGCAGCGGTACACTTAACGTAGACGTTGCGTTCCAACGATGGGCGAGACATACGACGATAGACGCACAAACTGATGGGCTGAACTCGAAGTTAATTAGTTTGCGCCGAGCGTCGTGTTATATGAACGGATGTTAAATTTGGAAGAAAATAACTTCCTCATTGTTCAGTTGCGTGCTTTTGTAGTGTATATATTTTATGTATATATCTATCTATACAATAAAATTGCAATGGTGATGGTTGAAATTATGATTACGCACATGGTAATGCTACGGCAGCATACATTCGTATTGACTACGTTGACTACGGCCATTTAATAGCAATCGACTTGCATTTGAATATAGATGGCAGCGTTAATTCGTCGTCACGATGATGACGTTGGCAACCAATAATATTGAGATGCACATTGCTACGTAGTGTCTGAATGGGTGAAGGGTTTAGGTTATTTACGTTCTGGTTTTTAGTTTCTAGTTTTTAGGTTTGTTATTACTATTGGCGCCTAGTTGGGAAGAGAAGCCTGTAATGATCACCAGTAAATGAAAGAAGTAGAACTTGTAGGAAAGTCGGGTAAGTTCATTTTGTAGTTGCCGTTTCTATCCTTTAATTGTGTAATGGTTCAGTGGTAAAGGAAATGAGTAGCACGTGTAACGAAATGAGGTTTGTTACATTTTGCAATTTCCGTTTCAGGCAGTAAAAATATATATCATTTATACACAGTTTGTGTAATATTTGGGTGTCGTGTGTGTTCTCTGTAATTCGCCCCTCAAAATTGAATGTAGTAATTTCAGATAGTGTGCCTAGTCTGGTGCTCAGAGACGTCAGTTGTGTAAAGGTTTATCAGAATGTGGATACGAACACTATCCTTTCTCCACAGAGGAATTTCTATTATGTGTACCAGAAGTTTGTATACTGTGTATGAATTACATTGTAATGTAACGTGTGGACCCATGACCATATTTTTGTTCTTTCCAGGACCATTTATGTGTTTTGAAATAGGGCGTCTTTGTTGAGGGAAGGGGTTGCTCTTTTTGTGACTCCTATGAGCAAAGAAGTAATTTGCTGCTGATCTTGACCAGCTATATAATGAGGTACTCATTGTATAACTTTGACACAGACTGCGTAGAAAACACCATTTCCAACATTTCATCTCTTGCTGTGTGCATATCCAAACAGTTCAAATTGAATTTTTTGACTTCATATCAATCACGTGACTGTGTCAAAGTTGAAGATTAGAAATCAGGTTTGTCAGATGATGTGCATAATGCATCTGAAATAGTTGATGGAACACCTTGTGAAATGCATTTTTCACCAAGATGTTGCTGTAACTACGAGAAAAATGTTATCTTGTGATATGCTATGTACGACAGAAATATGTTTATTCATTATAAGTAATATTATTTTTTATTGAAAATCCTTTCACACTTCCCTCTTTAGATTTTTCCTCATTCATATCACTTGCATTAAAACACTTCATGTGTATAATGTTATGAGTCACTTTAAGCAATCAAGAAATAGAATAAATATGAAATAATAATTCCTCAGTTTTATGCAGTGATGCATCTGCACTCAATCAAAAGTAGACTGCCCCTGACATACAGTGGGAAAGTATGCAGGAAGTTGGACAAGCTTCAATAAGTGTCAACTCAGGTGAGATCCCATATGGCCACAGTTTTGTCATGTCTGAGGGAGTAAGGTTGAGGCTGAAATATCTCTTCTTTTTCTTTGGATTCAGGGTGGTGCACCTACATACTGTCTGATGTGGGTACCTGCTTAATATATCTCAAGAAATGGCCTGCCTGCTGCTACTTTAAGCATTCAGCCTGTTGTTGTGTTGTGAGGTACACATTGAGAATATGAGCATTCATGTATGTTAAAGTAAAGTAAAAAGAAACTGAAGGTATCCTTGTAACAGGCTGGCCCATAGGGTTGTGAGATGTTGAGGTTCCCACATTTTCTAGACAATTGGCATAGATGGCAGTAAGGTTGTCAGCCCTATGCACCAGCTGCCCTTCACCCCCAAAAATATTCGAAGAGTATTCCTGGTACTCATTTCTGTTAGAGGCTGAGTCGACCCCAGGGCCATAGTGCATCTGGAAGGATTAGGTAAATTGAAAAAATCTGATGACCCTGTTGGGAAACCATACAAGATAACAGTAATCAGCACACAAGCTTGCTTCATGGAAGTTCTTAAAAATTTAATGGGGCAGTGTTTAAGGGAAATTGTACCGTGTATAGCTTCTTGGTTTGTCACATCATCCACCAGTAAGAATCTTATGGCCTGAGTTGAAGAGAGGATTGTTTGTCTCTTTCCCCTTAGTTGCTGTACAGTGTTTGGGCAGCTCTCAATTGATAGCACTATATTTTAAATGTTCTGTATTATGTATTATTTTCAGGGACTCGGAGAGAATTTTTATTCTCATATGGAGTCTGGAAGTAACACTGATGAAGACAATGATTATGAGACACATTTATATAGCTTGTTGCATCATTCTGGGGAGAATCTAACAGAAGAAATGGATCTGTTGCCAGGCACACCATCATCTAAGAGAGTGTATGTAGAAGAGAGCAATTCATCTGATGTGACACCTTTTTACGAGAGTAAAAGAAGTAAAGCATTTCGTTTGAATATGGTTAACAGCCTTATTGCTGTTTCTGATGTACCACCACATAATGTCAAAATGGGTGCATCAAGCAATAATGTAAAAGACAAAGGAGTGATAGAACCAGGACAAAAACAGAAAATTCAGACTAACTATTACAATTTACTTCGTGCTTATAAGGAAGCCACGTCGAACTGTATGCAGTCAGCAGCAGCTGAGAAACTGAATCTTAAAAATACAAACCCAGAATACAGATATAGAAAAAAAGTACAGAAGGAAAAAGTATTTTCTAATGTGTTAAATGCTGAAGACCTGAACTTTGCAAACACAAGCAATTCTGTCATTAGGGAATCGTCAGGTCAGAGAAGAAACACAGTTACAGTTTCTAGTTCTTCCTGTCAGGATAATGTTGCTACAGGTGTTGCTGACACTTATCACACTTCTGTACACAGAACTACATCTACTTATGTCACTGCTTGCACTAATAATGGTAATCATAATAGTTACACACACATTGAAAATAAACATTCAAAATCTCCAAAATCTAATTGTGAGAAAGTGTTCGGTGATGATGTAGGTGCAGACAGAAACAAAAGTAAGAATGCTGATATAAGAATCGAGATGAGAGGTGAAGAGAACAGACATGAGCATTTAGAAGGTGAATATTCATTGTCAAAGTATAATGTATGTTTGAATAAGGATAAAGAAAATGTCAAGGAGGAGTCTGTAATTGTTGTAGATAGTAGTGATAGTGAGTCTGTGGTGGAAGTGGACCCTCCATTACATGAACCACCGGCTGTCATATCTCTCAGTTCAGATGAGGAAATGGGGAAAAATATGACAGCCCAGGAGAAACTGAATAGTACCTCAGCTGAGAATGACATTGTTGTGCTCTTTACTGGTGGCAAGAGTAGTGAGGATAAGGTATTGCCTGCTGTTTCTGTTGATAATATGCATAATGAAAGCTTGGAGAGTATAAGAAGTTGTGCCAGTACGCTAGTGATTGGCAAGTCCACTACAGGTAAAGATTCACAAGGAAAGAGAAGTAAGAAGAAGAAACAGAAAAGAAGAGTCAAGAGTGGGAAAAATCAGAGAAAACTTTTAAATTTAGTGTATCAAAGTCCAGGGTCCTGGTCTAAAGACATGTCACATTTCTACAATGATTCTTGGGGAGGGGAGACCTTTGACGTTCGTCAGTTGCAGAAGTCTATGCCAGGTAAGAAAAATGTTACAGTATTTTATCTTGTATTAGAAACATTCATTACCTGCAGGTTGCTTAGACCAGTGTTCCGTAACCTTTTTCTACTCGTGGCACACCATGAAGTATCCATGACTCAGCATGGCACACCAAAATGTTATTCCCCTCAAAAATGCATGATATCAGACAATTAATATAAATATGTAATGTGATCATCTTATTACTATATTATTATCATTAAACAGCAATCGACTCATGCATTTATTAACAATTAATGAACTTTAATTCACTGTAGAGTGTAGAAAATACACTTCTGTTACTATTGAAGTAAATAATTCTACTCATACCTTCAATGTGACACTTGCGCCTGTTTAGCTGCACACAGGCGACTGATCTGTGGTGAATCGTTGACAATGCAAGTCTCATTTCTTCATCGATGGGTTTGAGCTGCTCCCTCTTTGATGTCTTAATTTCAGTTAACGCCAAAAAGCCCAGTTCACACAAATATGTAGTTGAAAATGACAATAACACATCAACTGCCATCTCGGAGATAGCCGGGTATTCACTCCTTATTGCCAACCAAAACGTATCCAAAGGCACTTCGAGAAGTTTTAGTTTTTCATGTTCTGTCTGCAGTAAAATTAGATACAATGACAAAATAGTTAATTCTTTTGTGTAAAAATACAGCGGTCATTTATATATAAAATTGAAGGTTATAATATAAAACAAGACAATAGATGTATGTATAAGTTTTTATTCTTGCAAATTGTTCTTTCAGATAATCCCAGCAGTTGGTTTGTATCATATGATGACATTGTTTCCCGACCAAGAAGAAAAGATTCCTATAGCCGCAAGAAATGTACAAACTGTAATACTTGGGGACATGATACCAATTCTTGTCCTGTTCCACGAAAATCTGTAGTGTGTATTTTCTGTGGGAAGATGGGACATTCTAAATTTAGATGCCCAACACCAATCTGCCTCCATGTAAGAAAATTTGTGCATTTTTCATAGTGTATAATGATAATTGTGCTTGCAGATTTTCTGCATCCATGTGCATATGGTTTTCTTCAATGCAGTACTACATATGACTATTCAAATATATGATATTTTCCTAATTTCACATTTCAGGAGAGCTTTAATGTAGCATATTGTCCAAGAGTAAGCAAATGCAACTAATGGGCCAGTAGTGGCANTCTTCAATGCAGTACTACATATGACTATTCAAATATATGATATTTTTCTAATTTCACATATTTCAGGAGAGCTTTAATGTAGCATATTGTCCAAGAGTAGGCAAATGCAACTAATGGGCCAGTAGTGGCGTGGGAAAGATTTTTTGTCATCTGTGCCAGTGTTAAATTATTAAAACTTTCACATATGTGCTGTATAAGAAGAAGTGCAAACATAAAGAGGAAATTAAACCAAGACTTTGCCAGTGATGCAGATTTTGGAATCTAAATTATACTTATTTAGTATACTTTTTATTTAAGTATTACCAGATTTGAGAAAGTTGATTGGGGCCTACCCAAATGGTATGATACGAGTATGTTTAGCAATTTGAAAATTCAAATCAGGGTTCACTGTATCATGCCTGAAGTATTTTTAGTGTTCATTCCTCTGTATATCTGTGGAGCATGTCTGAGCATTGCAAATAATTTATAACTATCTGACAACTTTTATAACTATGGTACTGACATTTCCTCTCAGTGCTTTCTGTCTGGTGGCCTCTTCAAAATACAAGAAACTCAGGTTATCTGGCATGTATGGGGAATGGAGCGTGCCAGTTGCATAACTGCGTGTTGTATCTAAAGTTTAGATACAATTTTTTTCTCTGTAAAATTTTTTACCGACTAGTTGCAGACTTAGGAAACTTAACACAGTACGGTCTAGTAGACAAGCCTGTATAGTATTAATTATACCGTGAGAAGAGGACAATTGAAATGAAGTGCAGTGCAGATTAATGGGTGAAATATTTTGGATACATTGTAATATGAGCAGAAATTGAGCTAACCCCTGCTGTAGTGGCAGTTGTATGGAGAGGTTGACTTGTAGTTCGACTGGTGGTAGCTAGGAGAATCGCTGAGTTTATAAAATGGTCAGTTTTCCTAAAAATCTTTTCTGGCTCAATGAGGATTCCTAATGTCTAGATACAGGATAATGTGGAGTTCACTGACTTCTGGATTCCAAATAAAATTGATTGCCTTCTCATAATGCTGGTATGTAATCTATGTTGATTTTCTGTAACTGAACTCTGGATCCTTGGAAGAAATGTGAAAACTTTCCCAAAGATTTTAGGAACCCACACATGTCTGATCATGAAAGTGAGAGTTAACACTGATTTTTTGGGGGGGTGGGGACCTAATGCATTGGACAGATGTTCTTGGTACTAACTGAAAGATGTGCACTATTATTCAAATTCATATTTTGGGTCCCATTCAAGATAGGATGCATGTAGTCTATGAACTATTTCAACCTTTATGCTTAAGGTCGCTTGTGTCTTTTTTGCATATTAAATATTTGCAAACATAGGCAGATTGTAGAGGTCTTCCCTCAACTTCGGGTGACCAAACTGTAATTTCGCAGAAGATTATTCTTTGGCTTCCAGAATTTATAATGCAGTGGTAGTGTAAAAGATGATCTTAATATAAAATATTGCCACTAGTATGATAATGGTTAAAATAGCGTCTATTTAGCAAAATCGAGAAATTATATTATTTTCTTTCAGTGTGGTAATCCATCTGCAGCATATAAAGATGGCTGTTCAAAGTGTTTATTCTCAAAGACTTCATATCAACCATGCAGTGTGTGTAAGAATGTTGGTCATCATCCTGCTGAGTGTTCAGAAGTATGGCGAAGGTACCATTCATTGGTAAGAAGAACAATTTATATAATGAGCCTGTTTTCGGCCATTTCTAACTTGAATGTGTTGTTGTAATTTTGTGTAGTTCATGGTATCACCATAATTAATTAATTAATTAATTAATTGTGTGATGTTTAGCAAATTGTTTGTGAGCTGGGAAAGCACATTCGGTATAGCAACTGGCTATGGGCTGGATGACCGAGAGGTTGGAGTTCGAGTCCTGGTGGGGGCAAGAATTTTCACTTCTCCGTGTCATCCAGATGGCTCGGGGTACACCTATCCTCCTATACAATGGGTACAAGGGGCTCTTTCCCGGGGGTAAAGTGGCTGGGGTGTGAAGCTGACCGCTCACCTCCAACTACTGCCAAGGTCAAGAAAATCCCATACATCTTCATGGTGTAGTGCTTACTAAGTTAAGCACAGGGACAACTGTACTTTTTACCTTAGAAAATTGTTTGATTTAGTTATTTCTTTTTATCTGAAACATTTTGCAGAAGAGAGGTGCTTGCTGCCAGAACACTAGATAATGTAGCCTTTCAGTAAACCTGTCATCCTTGAATATTCAGAGAAATGTGCTATAAAAGTTCCATCCTTAATCTGTCATTTTCACAGTTCTTGAACAAGACTTCAAAGTCACGAACTAATAAAAAAAGTTGGTCTTAACATTGTTGCAGAGTCCAAGTGTAATTCTTAATAAACCAGGTGCGAAGGCAAATATTGAGAGAACAAGGATTCAGCTTAGTTATTCAGACTGAATATAAATTTATTTGGCATAAGAGAGTTATGTTTTTCTCGTTTTTGGAGGGGGAGGAGGGTTAACATGGTACATTATTTTGAAGGTCCCCAAGGCCTAAGTTATTGAACTGAATTCACATGCAGTTTTTCACATCTCACTCTGTGACCAGTCAGGTGCTGGATTTAGGGGCTGAGGTTGTGACAAGGTGTGCATGGTTAAGGCTGTCACATTTGTCAGGGAACAGCGATAGGTACGTATACAGTAATGGTTAAATGATGATTAGTGGGGAAAATCCTCCCATATAATTTCATCCACCATGAATCTCACATGAAGTCACTGAGATGAATCTGGCACTCTGCAGTGACAAGTATCTAACCATACTCATATTAGTTATGGCATGGTCTCTTCTGACCTGTCACGGTAAGTCTGACAATTGCACTTTGTAACAATATTAAATGTTACTTTTTTTCATATTTAATGGCCTTTAAGTGTGTTAGATATTTTTTGCTCATCTTGTCTGTATGCTATACCTTCATGGAGAAGTTATTTGTACATGACTGGGACAGAGTTTCTGTGATATAGAGATGTTTATTATACGTAGGTAAGTCAGTAAGTAAGATACAAATGGATATAGAACTTAAACAAATAAGAGTACTGATTTGAAAAATTCTTTTATTTCTCAACATAATCTCACTGTACATTGAGGCACTTGTCCCATTGTTTCACAAGCCCCTGAAAACCAGCAGCATAAAATTCTTTGGGCTGTTGTCAGAACCGGGCAGTGAATTCGCTTAACAGGGTACATTTACACCCTGGGGATGTTACAGTAGGAGTTGGCATTTATGTAAATGCCGACTCCTACTGTAACATTCTCAGGAAACTGCATAAGGCCATTCATTGGAAGCAACCAGGACTCCTCACCAAAGGCGTGTTGCTCTTGCATGACAACGCATGTCCCCATACTGCCAACAAGACAAATGAGACGCTGCAGAATTTCAAGTGGGAAGTCCTTGAGCATCCTCCGTATAGCCCCAACTCCAAGCGACTTCCATTTGTTCGGCCCTCTTAAACCTTATCTTTCGGCTGAACATTTTCCCAACTATGAAGCTGTAGAAAGGGAAGTCACTGCCTGGTTCTGACAGCAGCCCAAAGAATTTTATGCTGCTGGTTTTCAGGGCCTTGTGAAATTATGGGACAAATTCCTCAGTGTACAAGGAGATTATGTTGAGAAATAAAAGTATTTTTCAAATCAGTACTCTTTTTTAAGTTCTGTGTCTATTTGTAACTTACTTATTGACTTACCCTCATATAATGCTTTTCCATAATTTTATTATCACAATTTTTCTCATTCAGACTACCAGTGAAGACTTGAGTGCTGTCCCTTCAAGAACACTTTACAAGCCACAAGAAGAAAAGTTCTGTTCTAACTGTGCCGCAAGAGGCCACCACTTTAATGAATGTAGATCATTTGCAGAGAACTCTCGCACATTATCACATAACTTATTAAAACGCAGAAGCAGTTCTCAGAAACAACATAGAATTCCTTCCAAGAGGAGAAAGTGTGAGAGAGATTCTGCGAACATGTCTTTATTGAATTTATTTTCCCGATCATATTATTATGATTCGTTTTAGCAAATAAGTCAGCCTGAAGTAATACGTGTACACGGTTCCGTACAGTGTGAACATGTATTGTATGAGCTGAGAGAGTATACTGTGTAAGTCTAAGTACAGAAAATGTATTTATTGTATGCAACGTTCTGAACAGAAGATATATTATATTTACTTTAATACTTAAATTTTATTTTATATGATTTAACTTCATGGATTCATTCATAAATAAACTTGTCTTTTGAAGATTTGCCTAGTGACCTGAACAAATTTAAATTTTGTTGTAACATTTTCCTTGTTTCTAATGCTTCTGTGTCTAGAACTAAGTATCAGTCAGAAATTGCTATATTTACATGAGTCCATAACCGTTTTCTGCTGGTTTCAGCCGAATAATAACATAATATAAATTCACATTTAATAAATTTGAATGTTGATATTTGATTCTGGCATTTGTATTAGAAATTTATCATCTTTGTTGTTTCTTGACAAATATAAATTGTACAAATTTTTATTTCCTTGGTACCTCCTTAACAGGAGTGAAATAAAAATCCTATGTATTTGAGTTGTTCATTCAAGTAAGACATTGCTGAGCCTTCATAGAAACATTGACTCAGATGGTACTGTAATTATGTATTTGATAATATATTCAATTCAATATATTGCAAATAGAATATGTAGATGGGACTGATGTTTTGTCAGTAAGGGTTTCTCTTTCTTTAACCCATTAATTCCCAAATTGTGCTTTATAAACTGGTGTTTTGTGAGATTTCCCCATAGATTGTACACAAATTTATCTTAATGCTGGCTTTGAAAATTACAAAGTCTGAGTTTGTGTACAAGCACATCTCAAACTTGGATTCTGGTCAATACTGTGAAGTGACAGCTGAACAAGGCAGAAGGAAATTACTGCCTCACCTGACGAGAAGTACTAGCCACCATGAGGACATTGGAACATCTCCAGAAGTACCTCTAATGACAAAGATTTCCACGTGTGTGCCAACCACTCCACACTCACCTGGCTCATGAGCTTTAAGAACCTTGAGGGATCAACAGCCCACTAGATCCACTGCCTCCAAGAATACAACTTCACTTCCAAGCACTGCCATGGCAGAAGCATGACGCTGCCAGTGCTCTTTCCCAAAGACTGTGACATGAAGAGTGTATGCACTGTCAAAAAAATTGAGGTGTGGGCAGATGTAAAGCAAGTGCAAGCTGTTATGGCTGTAACCACAGATGACTGGACCCAGCTTCCATACGGAGGGAACAACTGAACAAACCAGATGTAGGACCAATTCTAGAAGAAATAGAGGCTGGAGAACATATTGGACTGGAACAATCCAGCCACCCTCAGCCCCTCGTACAAGACCTGTGCCGAATGGAAACAACTTGCAGTAAGGGATGGCATACTGGAGCACCACTGGGAATCTGCCAACAATCCAAAATAGCCCAGATAGGCCTCCCTCGGAGCAAAGTGAAGAACTTGCTGACTGAACTCCATGGTATACTCTCAGGAGGTTACTTGGGTGTCGAGAAGACCCTGGACAAGATCCGAGAAAGGCACAGTGCAAAACCCTAATCTTGAGAGTTGTGAGGAATGCAGGAAGTTGGAACCATTGATCTCGTAGTAGTAGAAGCATGGATCAGCAACTACTACCTGAGCCAAAACAGAATTGCTTTAGTTGAGTCCATTTGAACCATATACAAGTACACTAAAGGCCAATATGTTCTGAACTGATGCTATTTGCAGTAGGTAAGTGTACAGACGAGCAGCACACTATATCCTCACAGGAGTTGCAAAGTGCATTGATGTTTGTGGAATTTTCAGGAAGGTATTATACTATGTAAACTGTGCCAACTTTGTCACTTGAACAACAAATACTAGTAATAGAAACAGGACATAATATTTCTTTCTTATCAGCACTTTTGGAACTATAAAGTAAAATAGCTTTAGCTTGGAAATCGTTCAGAATAGGACACATGTAAGTACACTTGGTCGTCGACTTACGACCGGCCGCACTTAACGACCACAAAAAAATGAAAAATAAAAAATGATTAAAATGTAAAAGTTTTTGAAAATAAATTACAAAGATGATAAAAAGATTAGAAAGGTTACAAAATACTTTTAATAAATATGTGGCCGACATATGACCAGATCAACTTATGACCTGTCAGAATGGAAGTCGGTCATAAATCGACGACTAAGTGTATACACTTTTTTACTTAGAATAACCGATACTATATCCTCCCAGAATATTGACCTTTCATCCTGGGACACTGTATAACCGGCTGAATCCTCACGCTACACTCTTCAACCCTGAGGATGGAGGGAGCAAGTTCCTCTGAACCATTGGTATGCACTTAGAAGACTGCAGATGCCAGAAGACAACATGGACAGTCACCACTGTTGTGAGCCTCAAAATTCAGACTGTGTAGTTGTATCTATAAATATACTCTCGGGGGAACCTGTAACCCCTAGAGAGCACAGCCCTCCGGTGAAGCAGGAGGGAGCCCATCTGGATAGGTGGGCCAGTCTGAATATACTGAATAAAGACCTGCGTACCAACAGGAGGCCTAAATTCTGGGGGCAAATACTTGGACACCCACTCTCCAGGGGACATAAATATGGAGGGAGGTTTGGCTGGGTCCTTGAAAACCGATTCATTTTGAGGCCACGCCATAGCTCAAGCAGTTAGTTGCTGGCTTACCACCGCTGCGGCCCAGGTTCGATCTCGGGTCTCGTCGAGTGGAATTTATGGTGGACAAAGGCGCTGGGGCAGGTTTTCTCCGAGTACTTCAGTTTCTCCTTCCAATCTTCATTCCACCAATTGCTCCACAATCACCCTTCCCTATCATCTGGGCTGGTACAATAGGCCAGAAGTGGCTGCAGTACAAGGGACTTAGTCCCACCCCTCTACCAATAAAAAAAATAAATATACCTATTCTTGTACATGAAATTTTCGGCTTTTTTAAGTTAGTGATTGAAATTTTGCATTGTAGTATGTGCTTCATTGTTACTAAAGTAATAAATACTAGAATTAACTACAATATTTAAGAAACAGAATAATTTATTGAAACACTGCTGAACATTTGCTGATTATTTTGAATCAACATTATGCAATGTGTTAGGTTCAGGTGTGCCCAAAATTCAGTAGTTACTTTCTAAGTTTCACACAAAATCTAAATACACAAAAAATGCAGGAAGTCTAAAAGGATATTCTCTTCTGAAGTTACAAGAACACACAAAACCTTGGGGCACTGTTGTTAAATATTGTGCCAAAAATATTGTTGCACAAACTACAAAATTATAATTAAGAAAATCTGAAATGATTACAGTAAATGAATCTGCTTTCTCACACAATATGTATTTGTGTCATATATTTTGTTTGTAAAGCTTGACTGCACTGTTAATAGACAGGTCTGGTTGTGCATAAAATCATGTAAAAACATTTTTATTAATGCATTTTGGGGTTGCAGTGAATTTGGTATCACCCTTATTTTAAAATGCTGTCTTCTGCTTTTCTTTGTGAGGCAGGTGATTGCTCTCTTGCTCACTACTCCCTGCAGATAAGCAGAGGTAATTTCTAGAAAATCCATATACTCTTAATAAGTTGTCTGCAACATATTTAACTTAGTCTATATATTGTTGACCCATTTCTGGCTTTCTGCATTGATGAAAACACCGTGAGCCTGTCTGAACTTTGCCCAATGACTTTGTGGTACAGATGTTCGATTTATTGTTTGACTGGTTCCCACAGCTGATGCTGCATGCTTTCCACATAGATCTGTTGTGGTAGCTGATAATCCATGGCCCACTTTTCCATTGTCTGTGTGACAACCATCTGCTAACCATGCCCCACAACATGAAAATATGTTTCTAGATGTCAAGGCTTCTGCATGAGAACAGCAAAAATTTCATGCCTATTATTTTCTTGAAGTTTTTAAGGATTTAATATTTCTTGTAGATCAAGAAACTCCTAATAGCAGGAAGTTGATGCTAGTCGTAAACAAGATCAGGGAAAGCATTAAAAGTAATTTTTCTAACGTTACTTTGTTGAAGTAATCTGCTTATTTTGCAAATTGTTTACTGAGGTGTCAACTGAAAAATTTGGTTGACCAAAACTGCTGGTTGGTGTTGTAACAACTAAACAAAACAAACAGATTCCGTGGTTTTAGTCCGCAAGCGAACTATACTGACCGCCTCTATGGTCTAGTGGTTAGAGTTCCTGGCTACACTTCCAGAGGTCCCGGGTTCGATTACAGGCGCTACCAGATTTTCTGTAAAGTAGTGATTCTGGAACGGGGTCCAATCAACCTCACGAGAATAACTGAGAAGCTACTTGAATGGAAAAGTAGCCGCTCCGGTCTAGAAAAACGAAACTAACGGCCGTGGGGATGCGTTGCCCTGATCACGCGACACCCTCTCTCCGCTAAAGTTGGCACTAACTTCGCCGACAAGCGGCGGTCGCTCGGTCGGTGTTGTAACAACTGTTGTGTTTTACTGAATAGAAGGTTTAAAAACTAATATTACATTCTCGTGTTGTTCTTATCGCCTGCCCCGTGTTCATGAAAGTATAATGTTTATGCACAGAAATTTATCTTTTAGAACCATTGTTGTCATCTCTGTCATTGATGCTGTTGTGCCAAAGGCTCTGGTAGCCATAAGCGTTGCTCTTTCCCATGGCAAGAAACCTGACATTAAAACTACACCAAAACTGAAATTATATTGTGCAGTGTAACCGAAAGGGGTTTGGGGGCAGATAGGTATCTGGAGACGTGGTGCAAGCCAGGTACGTGCCTCTCTTGTATTTAAAAATTAAGAAAAAAGAACTATACCAAATAATACCCCAAATTAAAAGTATTTTTATAAGAACAGGTTTACACGGCATATGTTCATAAGTAGATTTTCCGGCGCCCAAGCCAAACGAACTTTTTATTTAGTAACAGCTTCCGAAAAGTTCAGACCTTAATATCTTCAGAATATGGTCTTTGAATAGCAGTCAGAATCACAACTTTAGCAGTATGAAATGCAGGAAATTGAATTAGTAGAAAAACGTTGAGAGCAGCTGAAAGTAATTATAGGAAGAAGTGATAATGGAAGATGAAATATGTGGACATTATATTTCGGCTTCAAAATTTCTGTATGCATATTTATATTCATAAAGTAATCTAGGCTTGGAGTACGTGTTGGCAGTTCTGTAGGATGGTCCAGCTCGTCCAGCTGTACTCGGTGCTTAACTGTGTAAGTGTGCGTGTGATTGATATTTTGGAGTAATTTATTTTCGATATTTAAGAGACATTATTTTACATTAAGGATAAGGCATAATAGGATAGAATGGATTATAAGGACGAACAGAACAACGAAATCGAAGCTTTAGAGTCAATATATTGTGGAGAAATGAAAAGTAAGTATTGTAAAGCTCATCTGTAGAGAATCGCAGTTACAAATAGAGCAAATGTGGTATGCTGCATGTTTCTTAATTTTAGTTCTAGGCAGTACTCCGCATCATAAGTTTATAATTCCCATAAAATCAGAAGAATATGAACCCGACACGCAAAATGGACTGACTTGCAAGTTGAAGTTTAGTTACACGGCAAAATATCCAGAGGAGGTACCAGAGGTGGAGATATGTGAGTTGGAAAATTTTGAAGAGGAGGATGAAGCATTTCTGAAGGATCATATAATTCAACAAGTAGGATTTGAATATTGGTATATTTTTGTTCAGTTAACGTCTTTAAAAATTTTCTCTAATTCTCGTGCTTAATGGAACGTGAGGAAATAAATACTCTCGTGTCTTTAAAAATGATAATGAATTTATCTGATGCTGCACATTGTATTTTTGTGGTATACTTAACGATGCCTCCACAATGTGGCATCAAAGGGTAGAGTAGTTAGTGAATAATGTATTAGAAGGGGTGTGGAAGGTAGTAAGTTTTTGAGAATGAAAGTTTGTTAAAAAAAATTAGAATTTCCCATATTTTATGCAGTAAAGTATTACAACACGGTGTAGTAATCTTAAGGCAGTGGAAAATGATGTAGAGTTCACTTATTCAGAGAGAGGAACAGCGCTAGCCTAAATGCTGTGCTAGTTGAAGATAAATGACACCAAACCAGTAGAAACAGAAAGTTCTCTCAAAACTTCATCACAGCAATAAAAAAATAAAATAAAATAAGAAATCAAGGCACTAATGAAAGTTGGGTTTTTGTGACATTAAAAATACTGAAAGACACTGTTTTCCAAAGTTAATATGTATCGAATTTCAGATGATGAGATTTTGTTAGCTTTTTAGTAAAAGTTTATGTATGTATTTGTTGCTCAGAATAGAACATAATCATCTCACACATGTTTGACAGTACATTTAATAAGGTCATCATGTTGGAATTATTTACTTTTGTGATGTATGGTAATGGGTGATCAGTTTTTATAAATAGCAGTCTTATCATGATCATGGGCTTGATGATTTAGACAGATAAACAAAATGACATCTCATTTAGTGTAAAATAATTTGCTTATCATAATGTACCAGTACATGAATACTTCCGTTATATTTTCAGGCTGAAGAAAACTTAGGAACAGTCATGATTTTTACATTAGTGTCTTCAGCACAAGAATGGCTTAACACAAAGTGGGATGAAACACGTAAAAGAAGAGAGGAGTATGCAATACTGAAGGAGAGAGAAGCAGAGGAAGCAGAAATGGTTTGTTTATTTGAAATTTAAGATTTCATTACTCAAATTGCATCTTTAAATTGTGCGCTTCAGGGAATCCAAATTATCCATAATTATTTACCAGGAATTTATGTGTCCACTTCTGTCTGCAGCTGGCTGCTGAACTATCATTCCATTACCTGAGGTTTGCTGGCTTATCTCACTAGTGCTCATGTTTAGTATGGTTAGCAGTCATTGATATATGTACAGATACATTTCACATAATGTCAAAAACAGAACATATTTTTGAACAAATATTATTCATATATGATGCCTTTGTACAGTGTTCTTCATAGAGGAAATGCTGTAGAAAGTTTCTTAGGAAGTATCCTGACACTAAAGTACTGTGTAAAGCAGTGATTTAGAATTTACAGTGTTTTAACAAAATCTGTGTTTTATGGGATCAGTAAAGGTGAAGTTGTGCCTGTGCTTAACTAATTAAGCACTATGCCATGAAGGCATATGGGGGAGTGGATGTATAGATCCATATTTTCTTGACCTTGGCACTGGCTGGAGGTGAGTGGTCAGCTTCACGCCCCTGTTGCTTTACCCCTGGGAAAAGAGCCCTCGGTACCTATTGGATAGGAGGTTGGGTGGACCCCAGAGCTGGTCTGGATAACATGGAGAAGTGAAAATTCTTGCCCCCACCAGGACTCAAACTCCACCTCCTTGGTCGTCCAGCCCATGGCCAGTTGCTGTACTGACTACGCTATCCTGGCTCTTTGTATGGGATTAGTACTGGACAAAAAAGAAAATCTCAAATAAGACATATAATGACTGAAAAAAAGCTTTATGACATCTGCCCTCAATCAGGAGCAAGCATGAAGAAGTAATTACATTTTTTGGCTCTTGTGGCCTGTCAAGAGGTACAGTTCTTGTTGGTGCAAAGTTTCTACAGTTACAGCCTTATAATACCCAATTTGTACATGGCCTGTTGCCTCCAGATTTCAGTGCAAGAACTGGGTACTGTAGATGAATGGAGGAGTTGGTATTCAGTGGACTTGTCAACTTAGTAATTACATGTTATTCTGATAAGGTGCAGTTCATTTTACATGATTATGTAAACAGCCAGTATAATAGATATTGGAGCACAGATAATCTGTGTAGTGCTCATGAAGTGCCCGTTTTTTTTTTTCAAAACAGTAAATTCCAAATATTATGTGAGATTGATTCTTTGACACTTCTTCGGTCGATTGACTAATGAAGAAAAATTGAATAGGCATGTTATGCAAGATAATGCAATGGCACACAGTGTACACAATGCATTAGATTGAATTTTAGGCAGGTGAATCATAAGTCAAAGATCATGGCCTCTGTGACCACTTAATTTAAATCCTTGTCTTATTTGTGAGGTACATTTGAAAGGAAAAACGTATGTGAACAATTTGCACTCTGAAAGAACGTCATGGAAAATTAGGTGTGAAATTTCTCTTTCCATACAATAGTTTTGGCGTGTGTCTGTAAACATTCGCACAATATTGAGCATACTTAGATGCAGAGAGTCTTCACTTTGAGGTTTTTCTATAAAATATAGTAATTTAAATTACAGTGGAAAAGTTGTCATGAATTATCTCCTCTTGTGGTGGGTCTGTGTGAGAAGAATACCATGTCAGCAGTGGGACTCAATCTAACAGTAAACTATACTACTTTGTCCAAAAAGTATCCGACCTTGGGCCGGGGAAAAAAGTTCTGTATCTGGGTGGTTACAATTCCTAATCCCCTTCAAAGTAGGCCCCTTGTGACTCCACACACTTAGCCCAGTGGTCCTTCCATCGCTGGAAGCATTTCTGGAAGGCTTCTTTTGGAATGGTGTGCAGCTGCGCCGTCGCGTTCTGTATCATGTCCTCGTGGCTGTCAAAACTGCAGCCTTTTAGCAGTGTCTTCAATCTTGGGAACAGCCAGAAATCACAAGGAGCCATGTCAGGAGAGTAGGGAGCCTGGCGAACCTGCAGAATGCCGTGCTTGGCCGGGAAACCCTGGATCAGGTGTGATGAATGAGCTGGGGCGTTGTCATGATGCAGCTCCCAGTTGCGTGCGTCCCACAGCTCTGGTCTCTTGCGCCGAACTGCATCATGAAGATGGCGGAGGACTTCTCGGTAGTACTCCTTATTGACAGTCTGGCCTAGTGGTGCGTGCTCATGATGCACAACACCCCAGTAATAAAAAAAAAACAGTCAGTATCACCTTCACATCGCTCCAAACCTGTCGTGCTCTTTTGGGCCTTAGGGATGTTGGATGCTTCATTGTGACGGCTGGACCTTTGTTTCCGGGTCATATCTGTACACCCACGAATCATCACTAGTGATCACAGTCTTCAGGAACTTAAGATCCCTGTTGGCGCACTCCAGCATGTCCTGCGCGACCTCAACGCGGAGTTGTTGCTGCTCCGGCAAAAGCAGCTTGGGCACAAATTTTGCCACCACTCTTCGCATGCCCAAATCCTCAGTTAAATTGTGTTTGCGGAACCTCTGCTGATCCCAACCTCATCAGCAACTTCACAGATGGCCAAACGATGGTCCTCCATGATCAGTGTCCACGCTTTTTCAATGACATCAGCATTTCAGCTCGTTGACAGTCTCCTGGAACGCTGCTCACTGTCTGCCGACATATGGCCATGTTTAAAGCGGTTGAACCACTCTTTAATTTGCGTGACCCCCATTGCATCATTGCCGAAAGCCTGTTGAATTTTGCGAATTGTTTCTGCTTGGGTATCCCCAAGTTTCTGACAAAACTTATTGCAGTATCGCTGCTCCAAGTATTCTGTCATCTTGAGCGAAACGAGAATGTGACGAACACGTGTTACACCACTTCGCTATCTGGCAGCCACAGATGCATCTGGCAGTGTTGCGAGTCAGCAAAAAATCACGCATGCGCATGGAAGTCCCTTCTACCACTACGCTCAGTGTCCCCACCCCTTTGGCCATTACTTACAGCGGAAAAAAATAAAGTCAGATACTTTTTGGACATATGGTACACTATACTAAACTATATTATACTGAACCAACAGATGCACCAATCATAGATTCTCTATTTTTGGCATTCAGTTTTGTAATTTACATTGAAATGATGGGGAGCCATGATAGTGTAGTCAGTGTTGCAACTGACTATGGGCTGGATGACCGAAGGGTCTGAGTTTGAGTGCCAGTAGGGTCAAGAAATTTCTCTTCTTCACGTTGTCCAGACTGGCTCTGGGTCCACCCAACCTCCTATCCAATGGGTACCGAGGACTCTTTCTCTGGGGGTAAAGTGGCCGGGTCGTGAAGCTGACGGCCCACTTCCAACTAGTGCCAAGGTCAAGAGAACGTGGATCTCTACATCCACTGTCCCATATGCTTTCATGGCATAGTGCTTAATTAGTTAAGCACAGGGACAACTTTACCTTTACCTTTTACATTGAAAAAATGGTCTTCATACAAATATGAAATGATTAAATTCATTTAAATAAGCTGTTCAGTACACATGACATTTGATGAACAAACAACCATGAATGCCATGTAGTTTTTCAGGTGACATTCATGGTCACAAAGGAAGTACACTCATAGAGAGATTACTTTTACTTTTCACTGTTCATGCTTTGCCATAGCTTAGACATTCAATATCTTCTCACTGCATATTTCTTCCTGGCATTGTACTGATGCATAGGGGCATGCATAGCAGATGGTAACTGTTAAATGTTGTGCAGACATGGCAATTTTAAAGTGTTTTCTTTTGTTATTCACAGAAAAGATTCGAAGGAACAAGAGTTACAGTCGAATCATTTCTAGCGTGGAAGGCGAAGTTTGATATAGAATTTGGAGCAAAGAAAATGCAAGAAAGAGATAAGGAAACAAGAAAGTTAACAGGAAGAGAGTTATTCCTGACGGATAAAACCCTTAATGAATCTGATCTCAAGTTTCTTGAAGATGGTAAATTTTTATACTTAATTGCATGCTCTTTTGGGCTTACAAGAGTTAGAATTTACATAATATACTTTTAATATACCTACCTACCACTCGGCGCTAGAACCCTACAACCAGTCTCCACTGCTCTCTATTGTAACTTTAATATAAGATCCATAATTAAATGCTATCAGTGTGAATGTGTTGTTTCCTGTAGTGCAAGAGATGAAACACTGCAGTCTGTAGAAGCAAAAATTTCAGTTGAACCTGTAGCATTATTTGGATGTTATTAATAATATAGCATTTTACTAACTTCTCTTCATGCACATTTTATAGAGAAAATATTTTAATTTCAGAACATAAATCAGTTGATCAGTATTTTGTTGGACATTCAAATTTTGTGTCCCTTGTACATTTATTTACTACATTAATTTGTCATATCTACAATTGAGCATGAGTAAGTTGAGTGGGGCCCACCTGAAATGTGGTTTAATACATACCATAAGACGATGGGAACACCAAAGAGTTTGGGTTATTATATCAGAATTAAAATGACCGCCTCTGTGGTTTAGTGGTCAGAGTTCCTGGCTACAGATCCAGAGGTCCCAGGCTCGATTCCCGGCGCTACCAGATTTTCTGAGAAAAAGTGGGTCTGGAACAGGGTTCACTCAGCCTCAAGAGGATAATTGAGGAGCTATTTCAAGGAAATAGAAGCTCCAGTCTAGAAAAACGAAATTAACGGCTGTGGGGATCAATTGCATTGAACACGTGGCACCCTCTATCCGCAAAAGTTGGCACTAACTTCGCCGACAAGCAGCAGTCACTCAGTCAGTCAGTATAGTTCACTTGCGGACTAAGACCCCGGAGTTTGTCTTATATCAGAATTAAATACTAACAATGCAGTTCTTATTCATTTTGATACCTCTATAAAGCATATTCTGATCACAGCGGGCGCATGGTCTAAGGCATGCACTGTCTTCACTCGCTTGAACACTAGGATCGTGGGTTTGAATCCCACTCAAGGCATGGATGCTGTCTGTGTTTAGTCTATGTTTATGTTGATAGTGGCCTTGCAACAGGCTGACTCCCCTTCCAAGGAGTTCTACTGTTTATCAGAATGGCAGTTAATTTTACTGAAGTGAGAGTGCAAACAGTAAGTTCTGACTTAGTCTGTTGGTAAGTATAGTCACATGATTGAGTGTGACTAGAGACTGGGTTTGGATTGGTAATTGGATTTACTGAGCTCTTACAGATCATAACTACAGTTAACTATAACAGTCTCATTGAGTTACACATTTCAAAGTTCACTGTAGCTACAGCACACATAAAGTCTTCTCTGTCATCTCTAGCAGTTGCTTTATAGCAGCTTCCAGTGTTGGACATTACACTTCCTTTGGGCTCCCAAATTGTCCCTGACCTCAGCTATCAGCACCCATCTGGGGCTTACGACCAGATTTTTATTACTGTCAGACAGTTGCAGGTTTCTTGATGTGGGGTGCTTTCTCTCTGATGAGATGATTGGTCCGTCGTTTACAATTGCTGCTGGCCCTCACCAGTGTAGTCGTTCTTAGGTCCAAGTCCCATGGGGTTCACAACCATATTTTACTGTCTCAGATTCGAGACTTCCTACTACTCATAGGGCTACGCTGGAGGTATTCAACCCTGCCCCCACCCATTGTGTCATTGTGTCATATATCTGCCATCTTATCTTCTTGTTAACACTTTTCTTAACTGTCACCAAACTTTACACATAATATTAAAGTGGTGCAAAATTCTATGAAATATTAACAGGAATTAGTAATGCACTTCAATCTGAAAAGTACTTCGTAGTGAGATTCTACTTGATTAACTACATGGAGTAGAGCTTGTCAGGAGAATCTGTAGTTGGTCTGCTGATCAAGAATCCTCTTCTTTTATGGAACCCATTACTATGTTCAAAAGAAGCCTGTCATTGAATTCTTGTCCCAAGCCAGTTGAATACAATTCCATAAGTCACACTCATATTTCTTTAAAATCCATAACATTATCCTCTCATCTACACCTAGGTCTGCATTGTAGTTACTTCTTAGGGACTAACATTTTATATGAATTTCTCATCAACTCCTATATATGCTACATGCCCTGCTATCTCACCGCAATAATATTTCTTGAGGAGTACAAATTAATAAGTTCCTCATATGCAGTTTTTTTGGCCTCTTATTAGGTCTGAATATTGTGAGCTTCCGTCTCAAACACCCCCACCCTCTATTGATTGACTTTAACAATTCATACATTTATTGACTTACAGAGATATTGGGTTTTCAGACTTTATCCATTGTCCTGGTTTTTAAGATAACTAAGAAAAACCAGGACGATGGATAAAGTCCGAAAACCCAATATCTCTGTGTGTTATACATCATTGTCAGAACCCTATAGTAACTATTTATTGACTTTTTTTGACATCCAGTCTCATTTTTTATTTAAAACAAAATTTCAGAGACTGAACTCCTGGATAATGTCCAGAAAGCCAATAATTATATTAATATACCATAGTCATGAACCTTTAGATAATATTTTAATAATTCATGTTTACATACTAATGAGATTTTTTTTTTAATAGGTGGAGATTCTATTAAAGTTGATGAATCTCTTTTCCAAGATTTAGAAGAACTAGATCTTGATGCTGAAGATGCACTTGATGATGATAGTTCTTAGCTGGTTGTTAATGTATTTAAGCCCTTTATTTGTGTGATAGCATGGATGATTGAATGGAGAGACCAGTGTGTGTGTGTGTGTGTGTGTACATGACATTACCAAGTAAATATACAATTTTTTTTATGTACATATAAAGCTGTATGGTAGCTTGAGTCGTGTTTTATTTCAACTGGCTCAGGTCAGCATTGGTGCAGAACCGTGCACTATATATTGCATCAACACATTTGTGCCTTTAATCTCCTCAAGAGTTACACTTGCCACATTCATCTTTGTGTATTTCAAATACTTTCATCACATCTTACTCATTACATTTTGTTTAAACAACAATAGTGTGAAAAGTCATAGTTCATATGCTACATGGACACACATGTTCTGGAAATTAAGAGAACACTAGTAAGTGTCAGGGCTGTGAGCTGATAAATAATTTTATGAACCATTTTATCATTTATTGTTATTGGTCGTATCTTGTGCTATTGCAGTGGAATGTGCATGCTCTTCAGCTGGGCGAGCATTGCATTACTTTTTAAGCCCTAATATTGTTACCCCCCCCCCCAGCTAAAATCTGGCTGCCAGTCTCATACTACTGGGGATTTTGAATTGTTGTTCTTGGATGATTAAGAAAAATTGATTGGTTATTGTTTAATTAATCAGAAACACTTTTTTACATGGCATACCAAATAATGTATCAGTAAATACATATTGTTCATGTACTATGAGACCTGGATTGTTGGTTAAGGGTGCATTTTAACCTTTCAGTATCATACAGGATAGAAAGTGCTGGATGAAAATGCTGAAAATTAAGCCACTGGCAGAGTATTTTATTTTGCAAGTCAAAATATCCTTATTTAACTGATTAAATTATATGGAACTAAATCTCTCTCTCATTTACATGTTACAATATTATATAAATAAAAATGTAAATGTTTGTTTGAGTCTTACCTAAGATCTCCGAAACTTCTTCACTGATCGCTTCGAAATTTTGACACAATGTTGCATTCGAACACCCGCGTGTTTCTGTGTGCCTATTATGTAGATATCACACCCGTGACAGGTAAAAACCTGCCACATGTTCCGAATCCAGCAGTCGTTTCAATTGTAACGCTAGAACAGTTAGCGTATACTTCCATGGAAACGCAATAACAGTTTGCCGTTGCTAGCATTTCCTAAGCAACGGATGAAACTAACTCTTCGATAAGGTATTCCCTATCCCGTCCGAGCGCTGGCTATATGTATAAGAGAGTTTAGCTCCGGCGACTGTTCAGTATCACGAGTGTCTCGAGTATCACGGGGTCACAAGTATCACAAGAGATTCCGAGCGAAATCACAGCATCCGCCAAGGTATAAATAGCCCACCTTAGACAAGAAGCAGTCAGTCTCGGGGCAGATGCCAAGGGATACGGAAGAGAGCCTGGAGGTAAGCGCCGAAGGAGTTAGTCTTGGGATAGCCAACGCCAAATATAAACAGTTTTGATTTATTTTCATTTTGATTTAATTTTTCGTGTGACATTGCCTTGGAATTGGGCTGTGTCATAACGGTATGCGGCTTGCAGTAAAAAAATTATTGAGCAATGTCGTAGAAGCGACAATCTTGACAGGACCTTTCAAAGGTGAAGATGTCCTCATTCCTCGCATTCCTATGATTCCAACCAATGTTCCATTTCGATTTAAGAGATTACAATTGCCAATTCGATTGGCATTTGCAATCACCATCAACAAAGCTCAGGGCCAATCTTTAGAACTGTGCGGTTTAGATCTAGGCACGGATTGCTTCTCACATGGACAATTATATGTTGCGTGTTCTAGAGTCAGCAAACCAGACAATCTCTATATCTGCACAGACAATGGAACAACAAAAAATATTGTATACCCACAAGCATTGTGAAATTAAACATATTAGATATGTGACCTTTCTCTTTTCTTTTTTTCCCATTTAACCAGACTGAGCCACAGCAAAGCATGGCCGGGCACAGCTAATATATATATAACTTATGTAATAATATAGGGAGATTATATACATTTGGCATACTCTGAAAATTTAGGGGTATGTCCCTATCTCTTCACTGGCTCAGAAACTTAAATTTATAAAGTCAAACTTTGAAGATTTAGAGAACATGCATATATACTGTAACGTGTCTGGGCAACTAACGATGCTGTTCGGATTGGTAAATGGGTTTATTAACCACTTACAGGTTGTAACTACAGTTACTTATGACACTCTTGCTGATTTACACAATTCACAATTACTACATGTTAATCTTCTCATGAACTGTCCATGGCTGTCTTCCACCGAGAACTCTTTCTCTGTCACTTAAACACTCAAACACTCTCAAATACTCCTCAATACTGACATCTGTTCTGTTTGTAACTGTCGTTATACAGCTTCTGCACTGACCACACAAAAAACAGCCTATATTGTTGGAACATGCTTACCGACCGATTGCATAGCAACAGTTGCGGCATGGACTCCATAGTAAACGCTGCTCGTTCTCCTGGGCTCCACCCTTCGATACCATTCGTGGTTGGGTCCTTTATTCCCGTTTTGCATTCTGGGCCCTTCCAACATCTCTTCTCAAACAAAAACGCAGACAAACGTGAGAAGGTCTTCAAGAGCGACTCTTACTGAACGACTAGCATTTTGCTTCATATTAAAAGGTCGCGGATTTATATCATGTGCCAGAAACCGGCTATCTATTCGCCGAACAGTAACGACATAACCACAGAACTTTGAGAACCTTCATTGTTAAAATACATTACCAGCATTCAATTGTTATTTCAACCTATCGCAACAGAAGGACGTGTCTAAATAATAACGGGAAGGAACCACGGAAAAGTGCTGTTAAAATACGTCTTTCTGACTTGAATATAGAGCATGGTACGGAGAGCATTCGTGGTTCTTTTCCAGATGAAACGGAAGGTGATAGTGGTTCTTCTTATGACGAACTTTGAGACTACACCCGAGAGGGCACAAAACACTCCCAAGACTCGTCCATCAGCAGCTGCTTCGGGTGGGTCCAAAGATGGATGTGAGAAAAACGACTTGGATAGTGATAAAGATTATCTGAAGGAATACCCAGACAACACGGAAGACGGCACAAAATACTCCCGAGACTTGTCCACCAGCGGCTGCTTCGAGTGGATTCGAAGATTTATATGTGAGAAGTTTTGCAGGCGCTTCAGAACAGCACAAGAGACCCTGACAGCACAGTGATGCGGCGAGGGAGACAGCTTCAGCAACAAGAATGAAGACAGCTAAACAGTGACATGTAGCAAAAGACAGTCCAGCTTCGACAAGAGCAAAAGTCAGTTCAGATCTGACAAGGGATAAAAGAAGAGCCAAGACATTTCACTGAGATTAGCGGCGCAAGAGCAGAGCCATTGTAGAGGAAACGTCTGAAGGTATTATAAGTGCTCCTTTTCTTCCAAGGGCCACGTTTGCAACGTCTTTTTCTCTGGCTAGGTGTTTTTTCCTTCCTGTTGTCCGTTCTCCAACCACTACATCCATTCCCTCCCTAAGGCCAGCTCTTCCCTACAGGTTCACTGCTAAGGTGCTAGGACATCCAGATGTATCGCCATGATCCAAAATTTTTCTTCCTCTCTCTCTCTCTCTCTGACTCTCTTACTAGGGGGGCCATAACTCCTGGAGTGGCCGTTGCTCCCCCATATCCAGCTCTTCTTACACTAATGCTGATTCTTTTTTCTGCTTCGGAAGGCCCGACCCTTCCACAATGTTCAATTCATCATTCTTCGTAACCCAACAGACGACCTGGCTGCTCGCTTCCCAAACTGCTGTCCGAAAGCCTTCCTGATGAGCTCATCTGCACCCATCTCGATCTTCGGACATAGCTGCCATCTTGTGCCTGAATTCTTTAATTACTTGCTGCCTCATAGCAGCTGTTTCAAGCCTCGGTCCCTTATGCCATTGTTGCATTCTGGGCCATTCCAACGTTTCCTGTAGAATGTCCCTCCTTTTGGGCTTCTCAGTGTGACATCGTCCCTCTTTTGCTCCTTACACCCGTGTCCTGCACAGCAGGTAACTTTCCAGCTGTGGTCCACAATTTTCGAGGGTCAGAATTTTTCTGAAGATGTTCCTCTTGCAAGGCGGGACACTTTCTTGCAGGCGGCAGCCCACTTCCTCCGGGATCCACACTCTCCTTGGGTCAGTTTTTTTGGCTTTCGACATTGCCCTGCCGCTTCTTCCATCCTTCAAATGGTTGCCCTATGGCATCTTCCTGGGGGATTTGACAGTGTTCCACTTCGGATCCCATTTTCTCTGGGGCTGGCTCCTTGCACTCCATACATACCTCCATCATTTTTTGGCAGGCCATCGTCTCTTTTCACCATGCCCTTGTGGAATGAACTGCAGCTTTGATTTCTTCTTTCATTTCATTCATCATTTGTGTTAGAGCTTCTCAGTGGGCTTTTTTATCGGCATCTGTGTTTTCCTGCAGTTTTGTAATATCAGTGTCCAGCTTCGCCAGATTGGCGCCCATTCTTGCCAGCAGGCATTCCATCATTCGTTCCACCTCCATCATGTGGTAGTATAATACTTGTTGCAATGGTAAATTCAATAATTCGTCTTAAATTGTGGTGTGTAAGATTGTAACCACTGCCAAAGAATCCAATAGTATCTGAGCCGCCAACTTTTGACATGTCTCATGTAGGGGGATATGCGTGATTAAATGACGGGTTCTGGTTCAGATGATTGGATTCATTAACAGCTTGGTTACACTCTCTCTCTTAATTACACTCAAGTACATGCAAAACAGTGCCATCACTGTTTTACACACTTTCCAGTTCACTGTTGCACACGCACTAAGATTCTCTGTCTTCCACTAGTCGTCTCCTAGGAATGGATCTCCACACAGAAACTGTCACTTCAGATCACTCCAAATATTGCACATAATTCATTCAATTGCCCTTTAAATCTTCACAGGTCTTCTACGAACTTCCCGTTGCTGTTACTTAAACACACTCAAATACTCCCAGATACTCCTAAATACTGACTAAATACTGGCATCTGTTCAAAGTTAAAGTCACATTGCAACTGACAATCAGTCAGTCAGTAAGATATTTATTATTTGACAGTTACAGTCTTGTTTTTGTGGGGCGTGCTCTCTGACAAGAGGACGGGTCTGTTTTTTGTATATGCTGCTGGCCCTTGCCAGAACAGTCTTTCTCAGTTCCAAGTCCCTTGGGACTTGCGACCATATTTTACTGTCTCAAATTTGATAAGTTTTTCAAATTTTCCCTTTTCATCGCCTCTTACGACCCGCAGGGTCACAGTGGAGGTGAGACTTCCCTTTTCGTTGCCTCTTATGACTCTCACGGTCACCTCCACACGGGTAGAACTATCCAATCCTGACATCTGTTCAGAGTCAGAGTTACTTTACAACTGGCGGTTTACCGCCAGTCAGTTCATCTTGGCGTCAGGCACCTTGAGGCCCACGACCAGAGATTTTTTTCCCCAACTGAACTCTTGCGGTAATAGTCCTTATGTAACATCCTCTCTGACAAGAAAATGCGTGTCTCTTATGAATACACTCGACCAAAGTCAAAGTCACATTGTGACTGACGGTCAGTCAGTCAATAAGTCTTTGTGTCGAGCCCCAGATATTTATTACTGTTTGACAGTTACAGTCTTGTTTTTGTGGGGCGCCCTCTCTGACAAGAGGGCGGATCTGTCTTTTGTATATGCTGCTGGCCCTTGCCAGCGCAGTCTTTCTCGGGTCCGAATCCCTTGGGACTTGTGACCATATTTTACTGTCTCAGATTTGACTGCATAGCAAGGGTCACAGCACGGACTCCGTAGAAAACGCCGCACTCTCACTGTTGCCTTGCATGTATTCAGTCATGAGGTGTTTCGTGGTCGGTTACCTAGCAACGCTGTGTCCATCCACATTACAATATATATATATATATATTGTGACATGTTGTGCAAAGGAGAACCCCCCCACCAGCAGCTGCCAGGAAGGCCGGACGATAATATGTCCGTCACTGGTCAACAACTAGCAATTCCTAGGCAGCAGCGCCTAGGAAATCGTTGCCCCGATGTATTCCCACGGCAACAAGAGATTCGTTGCATAGCAGAGGGGGAAACAAACCCTTCGACAAGTTGTTCCCTATTCGGCCCGAGTGCAGGATATAACAGTTCAACTTCGGCAAGACATGAAAAGGAAGTCTCAAATCTGAGACAGTAAAATATGGTTGTGAGTACCAAGGGAATTGGATCCGAGAAACACTGCACTGGCAAGGGCCAGCAGCATATACAAGAGACAGATCCGTCCTCTCATCAGAGAGAGTGCCCCACAGAAACAAGATCGTAACTGTCAAACGGTAATAATTAATAATGGGGCTCGACACCAAGACTTACTGACTGACTGACCATTAGTCGCAATGTGACTTTGACTTTTACTTTTGAGACCAGTAAGTTCGTATCCGACGAGAGCTAAGGACAGCTGAACTCCGAGCAGAGCAGAAGGCAGTTCACTGAGCTTAGCGGTGCTAGTGTTATAACATTGAAGAAGAAATGTCCAAGGATGTTATAAGTGTGAATAATTGTATTTGCTAGTGTAAAGAGTGATCGTCCAAATCCGAAACCCAGCGGCTCTGGGACCCACCCAGCCTCCTATCCAATGAATACTAGGGGTTGTTTCCCCAGGGATAAAGCGGCAGGAGCATGAAGCTGACCACTCACCTCCAACTCGTGCCAAGGTCAAGAAAATATGGATCTATACATCCATTCCCGCATTCATGGCGTAGTGCCATGGTCTATTCCGTGTAAACCGCCCCTCACTCAGAAGATGCTGTACACATGCAGTATCTTTAAGGCCAGGTCTTCCTTCACAAATGGAAGGAAATTTTATATTTTCTTTGATGGGAGCCCCACAGACCTCATGTTATGCTTGCTAATGCAACTGAATATATTGCTGAGAAAGGGTATGCTAGTGAAGTTGAACCCTTTTGCTTCTGTATACCAGCCACTTTTCCAGCCTGCCTTTCTTCTGTCCTGAAGATGGAGACACTGTTTTCCGCCAAAACACTGATACCTACCACCACTACAAGATATCATAACTAGAAAGACTGCAATATGAATCTTCACTGAGTTGAGAACCTCAATTGTGAACACAAAAAATGTCTGCTGCGTATAAGTGCCACATAGGTCTGCTCTTAGTAGCGGAAACTTAGCAACAGTTTTGAGAACCTCGTACACCAGTGTTAAATATGGGTCATAAAACGTTTTTAGGGCCTCCTGGAAAATGTAATGATTCAGATATACATGGGTTTTAAAATAAGCCATGTGTATGTGCACATGCATACTGTATCGCATCATTTATTTCCCATTTAACAGTGCAGAGGTATGCACATATTTGAAGGTAAAGTTTACATTCTGAAATTTAAAGAGTTGGCAGTACAAGGTTAACAAACAGGAATAAACAAAAAGTAGAGGAGATTAAAAGTAATTCATTAATTTGACCCACCGATTAATTGTGAAAGTTGTAATAACTATGTAATATAATTAATATTCCTGGCAGTTTATTTTATGTACAGTATTTAAAATAAATATATATCAGTTTATCTTCATTTTGAAAAGACTGCCAAGAGCATTTTTTTAATTACCAAATACAGTGAAGTCAGATTATGCTCACTGTCCTACAACTTTCTATTAAAATGTATTACATATTTTGTTGAGATTTATGATGGTAATAAGGGGTTAGAAAGATTGAGAAAACAGTGGACAAAGTTAGTTCCTTCAGCAAATGGGCCACAACTTAACTTTTTTGTCTGTTCCTCCTAATGTGACCATGATAATGTAAGGTGATGTTTTCCCTTTACTTAACTAATTAAGCACTACACCATGAAGGCACATGGGGAAGTGGATGTATAGATCGAGACCATGTTTATTCTAAAGTCATAATTTTCTGTTCATACCTTCCGGCAAATTAGGTAGATATTAAGCATTCAAGTAGACATGTTTTTCATTTAACTAGTGCAGAAGTTGTTTTTTTATTTAACATCATCATCAGTAGCAAGACTATAGCGTAAAACGGATGATTTTATATCAGCAGTAGCAACTTCGTACAACTTCACCAAAACTTCCAAGAATGTTTTATTGTAGGGAAAATGTTTTTGTTGCTGTTGTAGCTTTCAAAGTGCAGGCTGTCATGCACGTTGTGATGCAGGGAGGCAATACTGTTCTTACAGGTACAGAAAGATGGCATGAAACCTGATTCTTTGCCAGTGAAATCATATATTAATTACCACATTCTTATGAAGTGTTTTATAAAGAATGTTTTGAAGCCCTTCTTTGAACAGTTACTTTAAAGAAATACTTTTGTATATTTTCAGTAGGCCAATGGACCAGCATACACTGAAAGAAATTTAATGAAGGCTTTGGAGAATGGGTTTCATGGATACACAGTACAGGATGTCTGTTGTTACTTTACAGATAATGAAAAAATTGGTTAGAACCAGCAGTGGAAATCACTTTATGCACACAGTTTGAGAAACAGGAGATATTAAATCTCCCGCAATTTATTCCTTTTTCCATACACATTGGGTGTCTTTCTGTACGACGTTTTTATTACAGTGTGTTAGAGAAATCTTAAAACTCAGATTAAAAAGGTAAAGATATCCCTGTAGCAGGCTGTGAAGGCCCACAGGGTTGCGAGATGTCGAGGCTCCCACATTTTACCTTGACAATCGGTTTACAGATCCCCCCCAGAAGATGCCTGGTACTTATTTGTCTGAGGTTGAATCGAGCCCAGGGCCATAGTGCGGCTATGATTAGATAAATTGAAAAAAAATCCACCTCATCGAGTCTCAAGCCCGCAAGCTTCCGGCTTGTAGCATAGTGTCTCAACCAACTACGCTCCCGCGTGAACCAAGCAACTTTAATAAATTTTATATAACATAGCGTTGCACGAGACTTTAAACCTAAATGACACTGAACTATAAATGTTTTGATAATTTTGACTAACAAAGCGCACCGAAGAATTTAAGAGAACTACAAATTTTTGTAAGTGAAATTCAATTCTCGTGAATTTTTAGTTTTTACCACAAAATTCCCACTATCCGTCAACATATGGTAACCCCTTACGCCCCTTGCCCTCAATAATAGCCACCATTTAACATAAACTGAAGCCTACCGGAACCAACCGGAACGCACTCTCCGCTTCCGCACAAATCGGCTGATATGTGCTGCTATCTATTCGACTTTTAAACAGAAGGGAAGCGCTCAGCGTCCGTGCACAGCGTTGCGCACTTATTCGAAAAGGTGCCAGTAGGTGGCATGGGTTTAAATCAATAATTTGTGTTAGGGAGGGTTGGATACGTGGTTTCGTAAACGAAGTTCGTACATTTCTGAAGTGTTGACTGCAGGAATAGTGCAGTATAATGAATCAGATACGTGAGATTTGTTTTTAAATTGGTTTTAATTATTCGATGTGCGAATGATTAAACTTTGTTGTTACTTTTTTAACTTGTTAGAGTTTCGACGCTTTTCGCGCTAGAACTGTTGTGAATTTATTTATAATACAAGCCAATTCTTCTAGTGTTTTTTAAAACCAAAACAGAAATGTTGCTCCGCCAAACATAGTGATAACGGGGTGAGACACTGGTATTTGTTATACGACAATTGTGACAAATTTTGCTGTCATGAACTACTCAGTTGACGAAAGTACGCAGGCTTTACCATGAGAAATTCCGCCGGTATTGTGCTGTACGTAGGTATTGAACTTACCGATTTTTATTAATCCTGCTCTACTTCACCGTGCCGTGGTTTGTGAATGATCGTTCGGCTATGCACCTTCATTTTGAGCGCAATACCAATGCTAAATGTGATTGTGCTATCCTTTCCCTGACATGGATGGGGAAGGTGCCCGATGAGCTGCCAGAAGTAAGTGTAATATTGGAAGTATGGCTATAAAGTATGCTAATTTCACTGTATGTTTGCACCTTATGATGTGAAGAAGGGAAGGTAGAAACTTGCAGTCCCTGCATCTTAGAGCGAAATAAACTTCACAGGTAATTACATTAAGAGGAACCATTTAATAAGGACCTTCAGAACTTGTACTCTTCACCAAATAGAATTAGAATGATAAAGTGAAGGAGGATGAGATGGGTAGGGCATGTAGCACGAATTGGGAAAAGGAGGAGGAGGAGGAGAAGAAGAAGAAGAAGAAGAATGCATGTAGGATATTGGTTGGAAAGCCAGAAGGAAAGAGACCACAAGTAAGACCAAGACATAGTTGGGTAGGCGATATTAAAATGGATCTTAGAGAGACAGGATGGGGTCGTATGGATTGGGTTGATCTGGCTTGGGATAGGACCGATGGATTTGCTCTTGTGAACATGGTAATGAACCTTCTGGTTGCATAAAATGCTGGGACGTTCTTGAGTAGCTGCACAACTGGTGGCTTCTGAAGAAGGGCTCAGCTCCATGACGTTAGTTAGTTAGAAACAATTTAATTACCAGGAATCAAGATTTAGTTGCCATAATATTTGCATAGGTGTGGGTGTAAATTTACAACACGAGTATGTTTGAACATTTGTTTTGGTCAGTAATGGTAGATAAAACCCAAGTTTATTAACTTGTTAGGGGTACCCTTTTTATAGGTTATTAAATAGTGCTGTTAAAGCTATATACACATACATGTATAACATTAGATGGTAGGATGATTGATGAATCAGAAAGGATTTGGAAGGAACTGGTTGTGGCGTAACCAAGGTATTACCCTGGAACTAGCATGGAGTGAAAACTGAAAACAGCAGGCAGGATAGCCCATGTCTCAGTGCAGATTTAAACCAAGCACTTCCAGAATATATATGCAAAGCATTACCTCTAGATTAATGTGTTCAGCCCTTACAATTGCTGTTGTTTTTGTTGTTGTTGGGTTGGTAACCAGAGGCGCTACCAGATTTTCTGAGAAGTAGTGGATCTTGAATGTGGTCCACTCAGCCTTGTGAGGTTAATTGAGGAGCTACTTGAATGAAAGAGTAGCGGCAGTGGGAATCAATTGCACTAACCACGCGACACCCTCTATCCACAAAAGTTGGCACTAACTTCGCCAACAAGTGGCGGTTGCTCGGTCGGTATAGTTTGCTTGAGGACTAGAGGCTACAGAGTTTTTTTCCTTAAATTATTATCTAGTATGATTTTTATTCAGGTACACCCAATGATACTGATGCATCTCTAAATCCATTCACACACTTATTATAGGCCAAAGTGCCCAAATATACTTAGCCTATGTATGATTTGAGGTTCCCATACAGGTGGTTATGAAGAGTTCTGATATCTTCTGGGATATTATGCTGTGTAGCCCGTTGGAAAGCAAGTGACATTTCAGAGGAATATGTTGCCACCATCTTAAGGCTTGAAAAATAAGCAAGAAGCCAGTGGGAAGTAGGTAGCAAGCTCATGCTTGGTAATTTCTTCAGCCGAGAATATAGAGGTGACATGTTCCTCTGAAATGTTGATTGACTTTCAACAGGCTATGCAGCATTGTGTTTCAGAAGATATAACTCTTCATACTTAGAGTAAATAATGTAAATTGTATGAGCTCCAATTCCTGAAGTCCAATACATGAAGTTATGTAACTTTAGCCTGGGAATACTGTATGCTGGCATGTGGAAAAAGCATTCAGGAATCTTGACATTTTTCATAGGTAACCCCCTGTTACCTTACCCTGTGCAATAATGCCTAGCTTGGCAATTCAGTTGCAGTAGTTGTTTCTTCTTTACAGTGAGATTTTTTCTGTGTTCTGCATATCACTGAATCTCTCAGGCAGAAGAGTTGTATGCTACACCCATCAATTCAGGCCACTAGCAGAACCAAGCATTCAGTCAAGAACCTTTTGTCTTCTCATCTGCTGTCTAAAAACAAAAATTAGAATATACAGAACTATAATTCTGGCTGTGGTTTTGTATGGGTGTGAAACTTAGTCTCTGACATTAAGGGAGGAACATAGACTGAGGGTGTTTGAGACAGGGTGCTGAGGAGAATATTTGGTCTGAAGAGAGGTGAAGTGACAGGAGGTTGGAGAAAACTGCATGAGGAGGAGCTTCATAACTTGTACTCTTCTCCAGGTGTAATTAGAATGATCAAGTCAAGGAGGATTAGGTGGGCAGGGCATGTAGCACGAATGGGGATTATGATGAATGCATATGGGATATTGGAGGGAAAGCAAAAAGGAAAAAGACCACTAGGAAGACCAGGACACAGGTGGGTGGATAATATTAAAAGTATCTTAGAGAGATAGGATGGGATGATATGGACCTGATCGATGTGGCTCAGGATAGGGACCATTGGATGGCTCTTATGAACACAGTAATGAATCTTCAGGTTTCATAAAATGCTGGGAAGCTCTTAAGTAGCTGCACATTTGGCGGCTTCTCAAGAAGGGCTCAGCTCCATGGAGTTAGTTAGTTAGCAGAACCTAACAAACCTACAGCCTAACCATGTTACATATTAAACTTCCCATATTGCAGTAGATGCCGGAAAGGATATCTGTTTTTACACATACATGTATGATACCTCTGTAAGAAGTTTACATTACCCATTGAAGTTCTTGAGAGACAGTGCAAACTGGAAAGTTAAACCCCAGTCGTTTGGGCATTCCAGTGAAAATGTTCAAGTCGAGCACTGATTTCATGCAGTTTCTCCTCATTGTGTGCTGTGTGTTTCAGTTATTTCTCTCCCCACCCCCAATAATATCCCAGCCTACTTTAATTTAATTACAGTTCTGTTAATAGTTCTTCTATGTGTGCTTGTACGATCCTGATATGGTCCCCAGAGTCATCTTCTTATTTTACTTACAAAACACATAGGTACTGTATGTGACCTAAGAGCCATGGTAACTCATGCAGTATTGTGACTGTGGTATGGACTGGATGACCAGGGTTTGATTCCTGGCAAGGGTGGGATTTTTCACTTTTCCATGATGCCTATGCCTGATCTGGGACCAATCCAGCTTCCTCCCCAGTATGTCCAGGGAGTAAATTGGCAGGAGTGTGAAGCTGGCCACTCACCTCCATCTAGTGTTGAGGTTAAGAATGGTGGAGCTATACCTCCATTCCCCCATTTGCCTTCATGGTATAGTGCTTAATTATGTAATTTAAGTACTGGGATAACAAAGTCTGTGATTGATAGTGTAACGGACCAAAAATGAAGCAATTCAAAATAAGTACTGGGATAACTTTAACTTTTTATTGTACACTGTCGTTGTTCCAGTATGTATCTCTTGCATGATATTATGATGCAGGAAATACAAAAATAAAACAATTGAGTGAATAACTACTTATCACACAGTTCAGGTACAATTACAGGATTCAAAGCAACGTAGGGCTCAGGATATATGCAAGTTGGCTGGCGTAAGTGTATAAGCTCACCTCATGGCAGCTATTCAGCAATTTGCACAGAATGAAATTGAAGAGAAATTGGATGAAATTGGTGCTAGGCTTGAACATCCTGCTGACAGCAATAACAAAAATGATTTCCAACAGCTGATGTAACTTGGGTAAGTTTTATTTCTAATGTGTTCAGGCTTGTTCAGGTTTTCACCTGCAGGAATCTCAGTTTTGTGGATATGACTGGACAGGAGAAGCATCTGATTGTTCCACCTGAGACATTCAGTGAATGAAGTGTATTCAGTGTATGAAATCATTTTGCTGGCGGTGTGTCGCTGTTTCAAATTTCATGTGTCTCCCTATAATGGGTCCTTATTATTGTTATGTGATGTAAACATAAATATACTTGTAGTGTTTTTGTATTCATAGTGTTATTATTTAACATTATACACAAAAGTAACGGTATCAGACATTCATCTACTTTTTATGAGGTCTACTCTGTCACAAAATTTTGGGACACAACATTAAATAGCACTAGTGTTGGTTCAGCCTCATTCTGTGTTCATAGCCACAAAGGGGATTGTGTTGTCTTAGTCACTTTACTGCACATACATGTAATATGAAAGAAAAGTATATATAACATCATAAGACAAAGAATTGAAAATTGCACACCAAATTTAAAAGTTACATTTATCATAAAATATTTATGTCTTGAACTTCTTAAAATGTGTGTAGTTGTTCTAGTAACATGGCAAGCCTGTTTGGACAGTTTCATCTATCTTGAAGCTTTGGAAATATCATGGAAGCTGTACACATCAAATTTAAGTGGTTACTAGATTTCACATCATTGTTGAAAACAATTTTTGTGTATATGGATAAATACCGTCTTAAGTGCAACAAATTTTATTGTAATTTTTACTTCTTTTCCTCCTCCACACTACATGTTTCGGCCCTAAATGGCCATCATCAGGTGTGTATCACTCACGTAGCTGTTACACTGCTTGTTAAAATTTAAAATTACCAGTCTTTCTAATTGTATAAAATCTTTGTTAATCTACACGCGTCGATTTGATTTTTAAATTAGCACTTTTTAAAACTTAATTCAAGTTAAAATGTCTATAAGATCTCTGTTCTTTCTTTTTCAAATTTTTAGTTAAAATTTTTCAGGGTACATGCCCTATATCTACGGTGCTGCAGCCTAAGGCATAGGGCATAGGGCATGTACCCTGAAAAATTTTAACTAAAAATTTGAAAAAGAAAGAACAGAGATCTTATAGACATTTTAACTTGAATTAAGTTTTAAAAAGTGCTAATTTAAAAATCAAATCGACGCGTGTAGATTAACAAAGATTTTATACAATTAGAAAGACTGGTAATTTTAAATTTTAACAAGCAGTGTAACAGCTACGTGAGTGATACACACCTGATGATGGCCATTTAGGGCCGAAACATATAGTGTGGAGGAGGAAAAGAAGTAAAAATTACAATAAAATTTGTTGCACTTAAGACGGTATTTATCCATATATATTGTGTGAGTGTAACAGGATGCTG